CCGCTAAAAATCGCAACCAAACAATTCCAATCTGAACAGTTAACACTGACAGATTTTTATGCAGCATGGTTAAGATGCTGCATCGAACTGGAAAAAAATCCAAACCATTTTGCTCAATTACTATATTCTTGTCTTAAGAACAGAGAAGAAAGGTTTATAAAGAACGAAATTCTCTTAGCTGCCATATACCTGGGCCCAAGATACAAGGTTAATTAAAAGCTTAGTAAATTAATTATTTTAGATTTATATTAAAATTGTTATTTTATGAAATATTTAAATATAAACAATATAAATCCTTAAATATTACAGGTATTACTTAGTGATGATGATAAGGTTTGTGCGAAAAAACATCTTGTCAATTTATGGAGACGAATTAAAAGCTTAACAACGCCAATTTTATCTGATGATATTAGTTCCGATGAAGTTATTGAACAAGAAGATGATTTAGAGAAATTGATATAACTTAAAGAAAGGCAGGAGAAAATACTTAAAAGAGGGCCAACGATTGCTGAGAAAAGTATTGGAACAATAATTACTGGATTTAGCGATTATATAAGATTAGATAAGAAGGAAAATATTTTGCATTTTTGGGAGTCTGCTAAGCTGGAACTATTAACGTTACAAAGAATAAAAATTAAATATTATTTTCAAATAACTGGTAACACAAAAAAATTCCTAAATCTAGAAATGAACGTTTTCGTATCTTGGTAATGTTAATTTTTTTTCTATCAACTTTCCTATCATCTTAACGTTAATTTTTTCACTTTCCTATCTCCTAATGTTAAAATATCTTTTTTCTATCACCTTTCCTATCAATCATCTTAATGTTAAATAAATTGAGAGCTATTATTATCTCGTTAATGTAAAAAAAATTTTATGGCAACACTGGGATTCGAACTCGCAACCTATCGTTCGGAAGACAAACTTTTTTCCATTAAGCCCCCCCCCCCCCCTTCAATATTATATTTTGATATATTTGTATATATATGAAACTTTTTTTTATAAAATTAACTTAATTTAATTAGAATGACGGGTTGATGGGTAATTATTAAGTTAGGTGTATATGATACTAAATATGCTTTATTAATATATTTTATAAAAATATTAAAATTTAGGAGAAAAAGAGGTAAAATTGTTACAATGTAACACGTGAACATTAAGGGTATTAGAAATATCAAAATTTAAATTGTGATAGAAATCATATTGGCTAAAATTTAAAATAGAGATCCTTGAAAATTTAATTTTAAACATGGGATATAGATATTGGTCTGAAAATTTTTTTTTACAAACATAGCCAGGATCAAAAAACCAAGTCCCATGCAACTTTCATAAAATTTTCATTTTTTTTATTTTGATTTAATAACAATGTCTTAAATTTAATTTTAATATTCCATTTATTTCTATTGTGGGTAATTACTAATTAGTTAGGTGTATATGATAAGAAATATGCTTTATTAATATATTTTATAAAAATATTAAAATTTAAGAGAAAAAGAGGTAAAATTGTTGCAATGTAACCCGCGAGCATTATGGGTATTAGAAATATCAGGGTAAAATTTAAAATAGAGATTCTTGAAAATTTTTTAATTTTAAATATGGGATATAGACATTGGCCTGATATTTTTTTTGCAGACATAGCCAGGCCTGATCAAAAAACCAAGTCCAATGCAACTTTTATATAATTTTCATTTATTTTTTATTGTAATTTAATAACAATTTCTTAAATTTAATTTTATATTCCATTTATTTCTATTGTAATTTAATAACAATGTCTTAAATTAAATTTTATATTTAGATTTTAGAATAAAATTTAAAATTGTGATAGATATCATATTAAGTAAAATTTAAAATAGAGATAACATTGGCCGGGAAATTTTTTTTCGCTGACATGGCCAGGCCTTATCAAAAAACCAAGGCCTATGCGACTTTCATATTCTGATTGTATTTTTAAATGAATTATGGGGCTGGGCTTGGGAATTTTTTTATTATTAACTATGAGTCAGACATTGAACTAAAACAAATTTTATTGCAGGCCTGGGCTCAGCCTGATCATAAGATCTAAATTTTAATAATTACTTTTATGAAATTTTAATCAAGAATGAAGGAAGCATGATAAAAATGGGTAGCTAATGTCATTTTAAGAGATTCCAATATTGTTTGGGGTGTATTGTGAGATTTATTTTTGTTTGTCAAATAGCTAAATATAATTTAAAGAATAGTTATAAGATCTAAATTTTAATAATTACTTTTATGAAATTTTAATCAAGAATGAAGGAAGCATGATAAAAATGGGTAGCTAATGTCATTTTAAGAGATTCCAATATTGTTTGGGGTGTATTGTGAGATTTATTTTTGTTTGTCAAATAGCTAAATATAATTTAAAGAATAGTTATAAGATCTAAATTTTAATAATTACTTTTATGAAATTTTAATCAAGAATGAAGGAAGCATGATAAAAATGGGTAGCTAATGTCAGGGTGTATTGTGAGATTTATTTTTGTTTGTCAAATAGCTAAATATAATTTAAAGAATAGTTATAAGATCTAAATTTTAATAATTACTTTTATGAAATTTTAATCAATAATGAAGGAAGCATGATAAAAATGGGTAGCTAATGTCATTTCAAGAGATTCCAATATTGTTGGCGGTATAATTAATTGAATAACGGTAAAAATATATTGGTGAGAAATTCAAAAATTACGTCAAAATTAGGCGCATGCGCAAAGTATATAAAGCTTCATATATATACACAAATATATCAAAATATAATATTGAAGGGGGGGGGGCTCAATGGTAAGAACAAGAGATTCCAATATTGTTGGCGGTATAATTAATTGAATAATGGTAAAAATATATTGGTGAGAAATTCAAAAATTACGTCAAAATTAGGCGCATGCGCAAAGTATATAAAGCTTCATATATATACACAAATATATCAAAATATAATATTGAAGGGGGGGGGCTCAATGGTAAGAACGTTTGCCTTCCGAACGATAGGTCGCGAGTTCGAATCTCTGTTTTGCCATAAAAAAAATTTTAAAAAAAGTTTTAACATTAGCGAGATAATAATAGCCCTCGATTTATTTAACATTAAGATGATAGGAAAGTTGATGGAAAAAAAATATTTTAACATTATGAGATAGGAAAGTGAAAAAATTAACGTTATGAAGATATGAAAGTTAATACAAAAAAAAATTAACATTACCAAGATACGAAAACGTTCATTTCTTGAATATGGCTATTATATATATAGATTAGATATCTATAAAAAACGAAATCAACAATATTATAGAAATATTATTAAAATAAAAGGGTATTATGATATATTATTTTTTTTTGGTTATAGTTTTTTTTATCTTCGAGATTATATATTTCAATTCAATTATTCTTTGTTTTTTTTTGATGTCAATAAATTCTGATTCCTATCAAATTTTTTTGTAATAATAAAAATGAGTTGTAAGAAGTTAAATTAATTCCATTAAAAAGTAAGTTGCGATCTGTTAAAGTGTTGTAAGAAGTTAAATTAATTCTATCTATGATATCTGTTAAAATAACATTTGCATGTTATGAAAAAATATATAAATAATATAATATAATCTTTATTTTAATATAATTCCGCTTAAATCTATATAATCAACTATTTTCAAAATGTTCTCTAAAGGTCGTACTTATATTCCACTAAAAATAAGCTTCCCTATACTAAACAAACATTCTTCAGGAGAGTTAGATATAAGTGATGGATTATATTAATAACCAATAAATTTTAAATTTGAGAGAAATCATCATATAAAGACAATTAATTAAAAATATATAAATATTTAACATATTTTAAAAAGTAGCTGGTTACCGTTACAAAAATTTTAAGTTACTTTTACATTAACAAAACTAGTAGTAAGCTAATCTTTTATCATTTTATTTTGGCAGATAATATATTTTATCCTCCTATATTTATTATTATTTTTATTTCACCTTAATTGTTTATTTTTTTTATTTAAAAAAACTTAGTTGACTCTGAATATAAACATCTACAGGTATCAATTTATTTTAAACTCTATCAACTTAAATTGAGCAAAAATATAAAATAATCGCCATCATCAATAACCGAGAAGAAAATTTCTGTGAAAATCATTTAATTTTTTATTCAATAATCATGTTAATTATTTAAATTTCTTTCGCATTTATTAACTTACATTTATAATATCTCCACATTTTATATGATCTATTATTAATATATAATAATCATGTAAATAACATCTTAGTATTGAATTCATCTATTTATCATCTTATAAAAACGCCAGCAAATTCTAAGAAAATAAGGTAAAAAAAGATAAAATAATATTTATTATGTATACCATTTTACCTAGTTATGTTAATTTTATTAAGTATACATTATTTAAAGATTAGTTAAACTGGATATAGAAATTAAGCAAAATAACTATCAATAAATTTCTCTTATTAGAAGCGGTCATTTATAAAGCAGTATAAGATTATCAATACTATGTATAAAAAGTTGGTTAATTTCGGAAGAATTTTGCAATTTTAAAATTAAATCAGTTATCTACGCTTAATAAAGTTACGTATGTACCCAATACTTCAATTCAAAATTGGTCAATTATAGATAAGAAAGTTATATCTTATTTTATTTTTTTTTCGTAAAAAAATGTTATGTCGTAGGCATTAAAACAATAGGATATCCTCCCTATAAATTTATTTGCTTCGTTTTTGGTAAATATCACTATGGTAATCGATATCGCTTTATTTTCGCCCCTATGATAAATGCAGCCCAGCAAATTCTTTTTACTCGAAAAGCTCTTAACTTAAATAATAGATCCCTGTTTTCAAATAGATTTTTAGCAACCATGCCCTCAATTTGAAAAATTCTTACTTAATAAGATTTGTATTTTCATTATGTGTTAAATAAAATTACAACAAAAAATTTAAAAATAATATATTTTCTTATTTTATATAAAAAAGTTTTTTCCCACAAATTTATAAGCCGAATGGAATTCTACAAATCCATTAGTAATGTCAAAAAAGGTCCTATCCTAGTGCTGTGGATTCTAGTATTGTTAAATCCGTGGAGCAAGCATCTTGTTATTGCTTACCCGGATGGAGCGCCAAATCATGTTTGTGACACTATGCAACCTAGTTTACAATTTCATGGACCAAGTATCGTTGGAAAGGATCAAAAATTTCCTTACAAAATAGTTGCCAGCACTAGCAAGATCAAACCTAAACAAGGATTAGCTAGTAAAACAAAAATTATTTAATTTTAAAAGTGTATATGATCATAAATAACGTCTATCTTGTAAAGTGATAATTAAATGGTTTCCGGGATTTAAAATTGTGATTCACTCATTTGGAATTGGCTTTTTAAATTTTTACTTTGTTCGGGATTTCTTTTTATTCTTTATTAAGGAGTTTACCTATAATTATTCTATGCTTACTTTTTCCCTTTTACCTCTTATTGTTACTTTTATCTTTATATACATATATATATATGCACTTTATATATAAAAATATAAATCACATTCACAAATCATTCGAAGTCAAAATAAATGGAACCATAGCTTACAAAGGTATATTACTGGAAGCCATTCATTTTCCTACTGGAAAAAAGATAGGTACCTTTATCAACCCCAGACCCGGTACTGCTATATTAAAATGTACCGATGGTTCTATTGCTATAACTCACGATGGAACTAAACTTTCCTTGTTGAATACTCAATATTTCTGGCGAGCGCCCGATATATACATACCGGGAACCGTAGTTTTTTAGTATATCTTAAATATTGTTGCTTATTTTTCTTTCTTTTAAAAATATTTATAGGTTAAGTTAAGGATGTAATATTTTAACTATGCTAAATGGAAATAATATTTATATTTTTTGAAAGTTGCATAATATATTATGCCTGATAGGTTTATCGTGGATAGATGTTAATCTAGAATTCTCCTGTGGTGATTTGGAATCTCTCAATTTTAAATTATTTAGGATTATTTTAATTTTGAAAATCTGATTATATCTGAATATTCCAACATGTGATTATTTACACTATAAATTTTAGACAATTACACTATATATTTTTCTCAATTTCTTTGAAAATTAATATAAATTAAGATTATTTAAAAATTTTACGGCAAAATATTTTGACCTTTTTTTACAGGGTAGGTTCACACATGCACGAATTTATTTCCGTTTAAATATGATTTTTCAAATTAAAATATTTTTATTATTATTTAAAACTCTTATTTATTTTTAAAAAAATATAAATATATTTAAAAAACATATTTAAAAAAAGTGAGATATTTAAAATTAGGTAAATATTTCTATGAAAACTACATAGAACCTTGAAATGATAAAAAAAATGATCAGCAAATTTCTAAGTCAATAGCTGCAGATATTCGTTCGGGTTGCCAGCTGGGTTGACTCAAATATGCTGGGAGAAAGGTCTACCTCTTGCTCGAAATTATACATGCATAGATATATTTGCCAAATCGAATTCTCTTGATAATTCAATTTCCTATGATGAAAACAGCACAAGAAATAAATACTCATTCCAAAACATTTTCTTTTAAATTTTATTCTATAGTTTTTATATCTGTTTTATAGTTTTAAAATGGCTTAAAATGAGGGATTCTAAATCACCATTGTAATTTTTCAGATTACCCTAAATCCAGATTAACTTACCACCACATATATTTTTTATTTTAAAGTTTTCACGCTTTCAATTGATAATTATATGAAAGAATATTTATTAAATTGGTTAGAGAGAGCAAACTCACACGCCTTAAAAACAGATTTTAATTTTAAAAGAATATTTTCTAGTAATCAAATTATTCATTAAAATGTTGAATATTATTTTAAAAATAGTTTTTTATAAAAAAATTAAGATAGAACACTAATAATCAATTTAATTATTTTTTTATTTCAAAAACAAAATAGCGCTACCATAGTCATCAAAAAGAATTTTTACTATGTGAAAAAGCCTTCTCAACCTATTTCTCTACTTCCGGCATAAATTAAAACTTGTTTTGCTGATCAAAATTTAATATCAATTTCTAATATACTTTATAAAATTTTGTAAAATTTGTTATATAATATATCATTATTTTTCATTTATAAATTAAAAGGTTTAGCAAATTATTATATTTCAGTTCAATTGCTTCTTGAGTAAATATAACCAATATTATATATAATAAAAAAGGAAAAGCTTATAACTATTTATAAATCAAAATTAATAAGTGTTAAATATAAAATTTTAATTTGGGAGAAGAAAAGTATAAAGATGTAAAAAAAGATGTTAAAAAAATAGTAAAAAGAAACTAGGGAGGAAAAATAGAGAAAGAAAGTAAAGGAGGCATAGAAAATTATTTGATGGAAAAAATAAAACTTAGGCAGTTAGAACGAATAATCGCGACAGCAAGCCTTTGTCGGAAAAAGGAGATTAATTAGGCTGATCAATCTTTTTGCGTATTCGTTTCCCCAATTCTTGAAATAGGCTTGTGCCTTGCTAGCGAAAGTGGTGAGAATGGAGCAGGCGATGAGTATGAATGAGTAAAAAAAATCGATAAAGCTGTATTAGGTAATTATTCGAAATTTTCGAAAGTTCCAAACCAAAAGCTGACCCTTTGTCTAAGGAGTTAATGACATTCTATTAGGACGTTTCTCATTAGTTCTAAATATGTAGGTTAATTTAAGTCTAGAGTAAATGCCTGAAGGTTTAAGTGCACGCAAAATTATATCGTTACATTTAGAGTCCAGTGGGAATCGGCATCGACAAACGCTACAATGATGGCAATGCATACCCTTGATATCTATGATGGCTTCACATGTTTATATTGGTAAGGTAGAACAATTTCTCAGTTGAGCGATTATCTAATGATAAAATCTTAGCTGTAGAAAGCAGCTAATCAAGGTTGTTATAAAATAGGGTTTCCATAAACTCAACCTAATTCTTGGTTGAAGTGGTAAACTGTAAGTTTGTCATCGTGAAAGTTGGATTTACACGTGATGTGATAGGAAACATAATTATACAATGTGGCATGGAGAGCAGTGATATAAACAAAATCATCCAGGAGAAAATTTATGAAGTTTTGGGGGAGGGGAATTCACCCCAAAACCCTTATTTACTTAGTAGGCTACAGAAATTTTGATTATACATATTTTGCTTAAAATATTAATTATTTGTTAGTGGTTATTTTTATTTTTCTTTTAGAAAATATGTATATTTTTATCATCTCTGTGAAGTTGGCCGAACAAATGAAATCACTAATTCTAAAATTGGTGCTAAATTAGTCAATATTTAAAGTTTTATTAGCCCTATGAATGCTTTAACAACTACCAGCGTCTACATGAGCGGGAGGGGTAGGAACAGTTTGCATCCTATTTTTTTGAGGGGGTAGGAGGTAAACTGCTTTATTGGAGGTAGGATAAAAAAAATTTTTTTTGGGGGGGGGGGGTTTATCTATTAAATTTTGAGATGAAATAGGACAAAATTTATTGCTGTAAAAATTAATACTTTTATTATAGTATTATTATAATACAATTCATCGACCAAATCTATATATTGCAAACTATCATACACATTGTTTTCCAAATAAACTATCTTTTAAATTACATTTAAAAGGTTTAGATATTTTAGCAAGCTCATAATGCCATAATACCTAATTCATTGTAAATAATGGAGGTTTAAATTGAATTTATTATCTAAAAAATAAATTATTTATAATCACAAAATATAGATAGTTGGTAGTAGATATAGATTAATTTAAGTTATCCTTTATAAATTCTTTAAAAAGAGTATCAATAAATAAATAGGTAAAAATAAGGATATTTTTAGGGGGGTAGGCAAAGGTTTTTGAAGGGGGTTTGCATCCAGTGAAAATCCTGTCATGTAGACGCTGACTACTACAATAGGCAGTGTAAAGCAGCAATAAAATTTTGGCCAACCTTACGGCTAAAAATCAAGCTTTTATTCTGAAATTTTAATTTATGTTGAATACTAAATTTTTATACTAGCTTAGGTAAATAGTGTAAAGAAAAAAGTTATTAGCTAAATAAATGATCGGCAATAGCATTATGCTAGAATGGAAAAGGAGTACTATATCTGGTTTACTCTAATAAGTGCCTAATTAGTACCTATTAATTTCACAATTAGTTTTGCTCACCTCAAAAAGTAAACTTAGTTGCAAACAAATTAGAATATATGATATCATGCTTAAAGCGTGAAGTAAACATTATGGAAACACAAACACCTATCCAGAGTTGTTAAAAGATCGAATCAAAAGATCGACGATCCTGGATTCGATCGCAAATTTGTCAATTTTACGAGATTTATGATACTGACTTAAATTGAGGATCGAGATCATTTTGTTTAAAATTCGATCCCGATCTTTTTAAAAATTAATTTTTTACTTAAAAAGCAATAAATAAAATAAAAATTTTGAAAATTAAATTAAAATATTATTTTTTAAAAAAATATCTATCTTCATATTTTATCAACTTCCATTCCACCATTTATTTTATAGATATATTTATTCATTTCCTAAATTTTACGAGATTTAGAGCTCTTACAAGTTATTAATATAAATTTATAATAATATATTAATATTTATTTTAATAGGTAAATGTAAATGTCCATTACAGATTTAGAAGATTCTATTGCTTCTACTATTGATGTAACAGCAGATATAAGTGAGAATGAGAATCTTTTACCATTTTTGAAATTACGTAAGTATTTTACTTTATGTGAAATGGATGAAAGCAACTCTTATAATATGATCAGCACCAAATGCCGTCTCTGTAAGAAGATAATACCATCTTCCAAAATATCATCCTCGAACTTAAAAGGACATTTACAAGTAATTCTTTTAAATTTTTTTTATTTGATAATCTTAATGTCAACTTGTTTAAATTCCATTTATTACATTCCTGTGTTGAGCAAGTCCTACAGAAATAGAATCTAGATAAAGATTCTTTATAAAAAAAAATGAATTATTAGATACAGTATAATTAATAAAATATTTGATGAAGAGTTAATCTTGGTTTTGTTATTTATATATAATAATTAGGCATTTATTTTTTAATATTACTATTATATTAGTTTAATTTTCAAAAGAAGAGTATTTATAATAAATGGAAGTGTAATAACTAATAATTAAGCCTTTATAATGTATTTTGACTTTCTTTAATATAATTAAAACACCCAGTTCAATGTTATTTGTATAGAACTTAGCAATGTTTCACCAAAAGAAAAATAAATATCTATTCTATTATTTCTTTATTATAATATGTTAAATCTAATCAATTAATATTATAGTTTCAGTTTGAGCTTGATTATATAATCCTCTTGACAACATTTTTAGGGCTTTTTTTAATAATATATTTTGAATTGAAAGTATTTTTTGTATCATTTGACTCAATCCATAAGTTCTTAAGTGCCAAAAAGCCTCATTATATTCATAATAGGAAAATACTTTATCAAAATCTTTGGCCCATATCATCTTGGGCAACTTTTAATAATGATAGACAATATTGTAAACTTAAATTTTTAAGATAACCTACCCCCTTTTAACCACTAATAAAACATACTTTAATATGTTTAACAAAATTTGTTAAACCCTTAATCCATAGTTCTTAAATACCAAAAAGGCTAATTATATTCATATATAGGAAAATACTTTATCAAAATCTTTAGCCCATATCATCTTGGGCAACTTTTAATAATGATAGACAAAGACAATATTGTAAACTTAAAATTTAAAATAACCTATATGAACCTTTTTTAACCATATATAAATTAAATAATATACTTTAATATGTTTAACAAAATTTGTGTTGAACTTTTTATCATTTTTTTGTTTATATAGATTTTACATTCAGCCTGTACATTGTTTTTTTAACTTTAAATTTCCATATAAAATTTTAAAACTCAGGAGAAGTTATTTTCATCCAACTTTGATACATACTATTTTTTTCTTTTATAAAGAAAAAGCACAGTGAATTTAAAAATGAGATTACCAAACACCTCAACGAATTCTCTACACAAAAAAATATATCACTGCAAAACCAAAGTGGTTCTGGTTGCAAATCCAGACAATCTAAATTAAATTTTAACAATCTAAACATTCCAGCTGTATCGCAAAAAACAGCAGACAAGGTTATCATGGATTTTATTATTGACACCTTCCAACCACTGTCTCTGGTTGATGATCCTTCATTTGAAAAAATGATTAAAACTTTTTCTCCTGCAACAAAAATTATTTGTCGCCAAACACTGGGCAACAGGATATCTACTTCCTTCTCTTATATGACGACAAATCTTATAAGAGATTTGTCTGAAGTTTCTTATGTATGCACCACTGCTGATTGTTGTAGTGGTCATCAAAGGTATATTATATTTATATGAATTTTATAATGTTTATTTTATTAGGGCTTTTATTGGACTTACTGCACATTGGCTGGATTCCTTTACCCTCAAGAGAAGGTCAGCCGCTTTGGCACTGAGGAAGATAATTGGGAGGCAAACATATGATGTTTTGGCCAACGAAATCATGGGTATCCCACGTTCTATAAAATTCATAATAAGGTGGTGAAGATGGTGACTGACAATGGAACCAACTTTGTCAAGGTAATATTTATATTTAGCAAAAAATATTTAAATAAATTTATTTTTTCTAGAGTTTTTGGAGAAAATGAAGAAGATAGTAGTGAGGATATGTAATTGATAAATATGGATGACATATTATCCGTTGATGACCGAATTATTCCTACTATCAGCCTACCAAAACATCAACGTTGTTGTTGCCGTAATCTTAACCTTATTGCAACAACAGATGCGGAGATGGCAGATAGTGATCTCAATTATAAACGAATATCTAGATCCACTTTTGCAAAAGTTTTGTTTTAGTTAATAAACAAAATATGTCGTCAAAAATGGCGGATATTTTATTGGAGAAATTGGGAAGATATTTAATAGCTCCCAACAAGACAAGATGGAATTCTTATTACCAATCCATGAAATTAATAGATAAGATGCTTTCTGAAAATGTGATCAAATTGGATTTGCAATGTTTAGGCAAGAGGAATGTTTTTTTGTTAAAGAGTATGCAACAGTAATACAATGATATTCTCTAAATAAATTTAAATTTTATAGGTTATGGAACCTTTGGCGATCTTGTTAAAAATCTTAGAACGGGAAGATAATATGGAGCAGGGATATCTAACTCCCGTTCTATCGATATTGATAGATAAATTAACGAAATTTAGCTGCCTGCGGTATTGTCAGCCCCTTATAGATAGTGTTCTTAGAGGTATTGATAAAAGGTAATATTTTTTATGCAATTATTTTATATTATCAGATATCTGCAAATTATATTAAAAAATTGCAAAGATCTGGCAAATTTAGTTAAATATTTTTAACAGGCCAGTTCTACTAAACCTCTGATATCTAGTAAAACATTAATGGGCCTTTGAAGAAATTAAAAATTTATTAGATTATTTGAATTTTAAGCTAATATTTTGATTAATATTCTTTGTAAATAAATTACAATGTTAATTTCTTTGTATATTAAGTATTAAGTTTACATTTAATCAAAATTTATGATATGACCCAAATATAAATAAATACCATACAGATGATGTGCCAGACTTGACTGTAAAATTTAAAAGGGTTAAGTTTTGCAGATACTTGATTTGATTTATATGAATAAAATGAACAATTATTTAATAATAAATTAATTATCATTTCATAATATAGATTTATTTCCTTCACTGTATGAAGACAGTAACATTTTGGCAGCCATGATTCACCCTAAATTTAAACTTAATTGGCCTTATATTAATCTACCACAAAATATGATGGTAAAAGAAAGATTAGTTGCCCATTTGGAAAATATGCAGGAACAACCATATGCGGATACCTCAAATGAATGTATGGATGACATTGATGCTTTTTTGGGGAAAAATACTGTACAAAATGCTTGTTCCGTTAAAAAAATTTTTTATTCAAATGATGATTCCATGAATATTTTTATATTAATTTTAAAAAAATATTTATTGAATATAATACACCTTTGCCATCAAGCGCTCCTGTGGAGCGCTTGTTTAGTAAAGCTAAACATGTTCTAAATGAAAGACGCGGATGTTTAAATGATGATAATTTAGAAAAAAATTTATTATTAAAAGCTAATTTTAATTATAAATAAATATATCATAATTGTTATATTTATTATTCAATTACAATAAATTTCTACCATATTTAATTTATTTTTATATTAGTTAATTTTGCATCGGTTATATTATTTTATGGAAGGCATTGCATACAAGGTACTAGTAAAACAAACTTTTATTGAAAAATTTATATATATCTGTTTTTTACAAAAATATATTAAACTTTATATACATTTTCAGTAATCAGTTTTTGTAACTATTCACAAAATAAAATGATATAAAAATAAGGTTTTTAGTATGCTAAATAAGAAAAGACAATTATAAACTCTTTAACATATTAAAATAGAAAAGACAATTTTTAAAAGGTATTTTGAATATCATATAATATAAAAACCTTCAAAAAATATAAATATAATATGACATGTATATTAGTCATATTCAACAGTTTATATTATATTATTATTCAATTATAATAAATTTATAACATATATTAGTTAATTTTGCATCGGTCAGAAATTTCCTTCAGAAATTTAAATAGAAAAAGGTCGATCCTGGATTTCGATCCTCATTTTTTGAAAAGATCGTGATTCGATCGTTTTAAAAAGATCGGTTAACAAACCTGCACCTATCCATAGGCGTAGCCAAGGGGGGGGCAAGGGGAAATTCTCCCCCCTTCAGAAATTTATCACTTTTTGTAAATATCATTTTTAGCTAATAAAAAATATCCCCCTTAGTCCTCCCCCCACTCCCTGACCCTCAAATATGTATGCATATATCTTAAATAATAATTTAAAAGAAAGAATGTAAAAGTTGATATTTTTTTATAAAACTATTCATCATAATTTATAGATTTTTGGGAAAATAAATTTATAAATATATAAAATGAACCAAAAATGTTTTTTAATAAATGGAATATAAGCCAAAGATAAGTCTTAAGACAGTAGTGAAATGTATTCTAATTATTAATAGTAGATCCATAAAATTACTAAATAATATAATATATCAAATATAATTTTTTATAAAGTGTGTAATTTTAATTTATTAATCTTAATAAAAGTAAAATATATTTTTAAAACTATTGATAAATTAAATCATGAATTAAAAAAATATTAAAGCATAATACAAGCAGTGGAATATTATATGTCGTAGATTTCCAGTATATCTAATTATCAAATGACAATCAAGTAATTTTAACCAATATAGCGAATAATCAACAAATTTTACTAATCAATGCTCTTGATATTAAATATAGCAACAATTTGCTTTTAATTATTTAACGCCATCTATTTATTTTAAAAAAAATGATATTTTAATTTAATTTTCATATTATTTATCCTACAATGTCTTTAAAAAATATTTTCTATCAATATTTTATATTTATCTGTAAAATAACTGTAATATATTCTCTAACTGTCAAATATGTCTGTAAAAGTATAATTTTACCTAGAATTTTATATCTAATTCTATATAATAGAGTAAAATCAATTAAATGTCTACTTACTTTTTATAAATAAATTACTTATAATTGTTTGGAATAAACTATTACCATGCTTTTATAGTAAGGTATATACAATACAAGTAATTTATTATATTTTTATTTTATATAAACTAATAAAAATATATTTCATATAAACTAATAAAAATATATTTCATATAAACTAATAAAAATATATTTCATATAAATTAATAAAAATATATTTCATATTTGTTCCAGGCTTATTTTTATTTTATTAAAATTTGTAAAAATATTTATGACTATATATAGACTAAAGTAACCCGGCCGAAGGCCGGGAAAAGCGGGCCGAAGGCCCGCCCAAAAGAGGGTCTGGGGGCAAAGCCCCCAGTAATTTTTTAATCCCCCCCCCTCCCCCTTATGAAAATCCTGGCTACGCCTATGCACATATTATACCAAACCATTAAGTGTACTTAATTAGTAAAAATATCATAGAAATAGTAAGGAAATTAAGATTACACAAAAAAATAAGATTATATTCTGTGTTATGCAAATTTTTTAAACATTATTATTAGAGAAATTATCTGTATCTTTTGTCAAGGAGATGAAAAAGATACAAGATTCTTTTCAAAATAAAGAATCGTAGATGCAGGTACTAGTATCCTATTAAAATGCCAAAAAGATACTAAGTACATGTTACGGAAGTATCTATTATCTTAGATAAGTAATCGCGGTACTGCCCAACTCTGATATTATTCAGGCTTGCCTTATGCCTACAACTAAGTTCGTGTGGAAGTTTAGCACTGAGATGCATTTGTTTTATATAAATATTCTAAAGATTTAATATATAATTTCCATCGAATTTTATCCTAAATGAATAAAATTTAATATATATCACAATAAATTCATATAAGCAAAATGGTTTCACTTATCAATTGATCAAATCCAGTATCCATTTGCATGTATTACTGATAAAAAAGGAAGAGATCTAAATGAAGTATTTTTATTTTATTATATTTGTATATAAATTATATTTTATAAATTATTATTTTACATTCTACCATGTCATTATTTGATATCTGTCATGTGACTGGTCAAGGTTAAGGTTTCCAATCTTTTAATCCATTCCAGTTTATTCCTATTTTAGCGGACCCAAATCATTTCTTGTTATATGCAATGATATTTTTGTCCTATTATGGATATCACGAGGAAATCTATAATTCTTATATGATTCTTATTATTTAAAAGTTATACGAATGTTAAATGAGTTAAAAAGTACCAAACCAACTTTTATTATTTAATGCATATATACATGATCTTGCAAGTTTTTTCCAATTTCCTTTTTTTAAATAAACTATAGTCAATTAGTTTTAATAAAATATTAGTACATATTTTATAAAAATTTTTAATGGATTGTCAAGCAAGTATTTATCTGAATTATTCACTATTTTTTTAAAGATATGTTGGTAATAGCTTATGATTGATTATATTTCTTATGTCAGTTTAGAACCTGAATGAAGAAATATGGTCTATTTAAAAGATTATTTTATAAAATTTGGAAAATTGGGTTTATGTTCCTAAATTTGAGGTGGCTTGGGTTCCAATTCCTTACTCTTAAGATGTATCCAAAATATGCTTAAAAATTACAAATTTTAGATTGCAGCAGATTAGTTAATTGTAATAAAATGTTTATAATTTAAAGTTATTTTATTTCCTTTCTTGGAATTACTGTGTATTTTATTGGTTTGCATTATATTACTTTTTTTACAAAACTTACAAATATGTAAAAAATACAAGGTATTTAAAAATGGATAATAAAAATAAGCTAACAAAATTTAAATTGTAATAAAATATCTTAAGATTAAATTTGGTTTAAGAAGAAAGGTTATTGCATATTATAATTTATAAAAAAATATTCAAAATTTATTCTCTGGGCTGGCCTATTAAAATTTTACAAAAAATGAGAAATTTGCAAGGTCCTGCTTGATTTTTTATACATAAATTGCTTGGTTCAGCACAAAATTGTTTCTATATGAATTGCCTTGACCGCTAAAATTTTTTGCTTTGCTCAGCCAATTATAACTTTTTTTAAAGTTTTCCCAAACCAGCCCACAGGATTTGTGTCCAGGTAATACCTTACAGATTTCTATTGCCCTTTAATAATAGATGAATAAAGGGAAACAAAATTTATTTATTTAAAAATAAAACCTTTTTAAAGAAAAGGTAGATATAAAAATATAATGTATTTCCAAAAAAAAATATTTAAAAAAAAATTTAATGAGTCAAATAAGCCATTAAACACTCATATTTTATATGTAGTGAGTTGGGGGGAATAAAATACAAAAAACACTTTATCATTCATGAATATGCACCAAATATCACTTAAATAAAAAATTTAAAAGAGATTCTTGCCTTTATAACAATTGCTTATTATTTTTGGTTTTGTAGAATATCAGATTGGATCAGTGACAATATGTGGAATAGCACAGCCCTCTAAATAATCAAACTTTTAAAAATCTAGGATAGGGGGTTTAATAAAATAAAAACTAGTGCTGTGCCGATATTAAATATCCAGGTCGATACCTGTAAAAAAAACCAATTCGATCTTTTAAATTAATAATTTTCTTTTTTTTAGTTATTTCATGATATTTATTTTACATTAATAATATTTTCTAAATAATTTGCACAACACTCCTTAAATTTTATTAATTTTTTAAATAGATTTATAGTGTTTTAAAAGTTTTTTTATAAAAATAGAAAGGAACCCCCAAAGTTTTATTTATTTTAAATCTTTTTAAATAATAAAGCCGATTTTATTATTTATACTTTAAATAAAATAATTTTTTAAATAATATATCTGAATTTTGGAAATATTTTACAAAAGAAAAGATAATTTTGCAAAATGCGTTATCTTCGGAATTCTAATTTCATGGGGAGGAATAATGAAAAATTCATTTAATATTACCAAGTGAACTTTTTTTAATTATTGTTTAAATAAAAAAATTAAATTAAATGCATAATTCGATTTTTTGTATAAAAAATATTGATTTCTTAATTATATTTGGTTCAAAGGGCGGTGGTGAAAAAATCGATATAAATATCGGTTTGGGATCGGATTGATGAAAAATATATTGATCAACATAGCCCTAATAAAAACCTTGGGTCATCTTAGAAATAATATGATTAAATCATGCCACATTTTGAAAAATATATTTTCAAATTTTGACTGTACCTCAAATTTTGATATTTACAGGTCTCTGATTTTATTTTCACCAATTAATTTTATTTCTATGTAAAAGCTTTTAAATTAAATTTCATAGATGTTTTTGAATCAAATTCTGATCTAATAAATTATAATATTAACTGATTTTATTAAATTTTTTAATTATAGAATAAAACTCTTATTCATGCAAACTTCAGAGCTCATTTACTTGCATTAAATTATTAATGCAACCAAATAGTTATCATGATTAAATGTTAAAAATATAAAGCAGTTACTAAAACATTATGCTGTCTAAAATGAGAATTATTACATTTCTAAAAGTTTTTTTTGTATTTAACTTTTAATAGGTTGTATACAAATGTCAATAAAAAATATATAATGGCAAGAGAAAAATATGAACCTCCAAATCCACGACGGAATTATACTATACTTCCTAACACCAGCGCAAATACAAATTTATTGCAGTCACAAAGCAGTTATTCAAATGCCTATAATAAGTAATTTATATTTCCTTTTTGATTATAAAGTTCAATTTAAATATGTCTCAACTATGTACATTGAAGGCATAATATTTACTAGTGATATTGGTCCTGAACAATAGGATAACACTGTAAATAAAATCTAGTTAGTTAAGGTAGGCAATTGTCTAATTAGCCCAAAGAGTTAAGTGACATAATAACTAACTAAGTTACACTAGTTGCCATGAAGTATTAATGATAAAAAATGTAGCTTTTATATACCTTTATTTATGATAATTTGCTCCTAATTCAATTCTTTCTCATCCTACTAAGTAATCTGTTAAACTAGCTTCTTTTAAACATCTACTTTAAAACAATTAAATTTCGACCTTCTTTCTGAGAGCCATTTATCAAAATTGTGCAGGGGGGAGGGGTATCTAGTTGTCCTTTTTATTATATAGCCAATTGCTCGTTAATAATTTATTTATAGATATAATATAAATATAAAATGTATTTAATCTTATCTTAAAGGAAGGATTATTCGCTGGAAAACGATTACAATAGTTCCAACATTATAAATAACAACCCTAATAATTTGGCGCCAAATTACGGATGGTCCGAGTTGGAGATAACGGGGGCGGTAAAAAACATAAGTCCCAACTTGTTTTCCTTAACCCATTTAACCGTACTCTACTTAAACGATAACAACTTAGCTAACGTAAATATTTTAATTTTTTATTAAATCATTATTACTTATGTGTGCTCAATATATTATGTTGGAATGATCGTATAAAGATTTTTATACTTTATTATTACCATAGATGACAAGAAAATTTGAGATTTGTTAAATTCCGTTAGACATGTTTATGATTTTATTTTATGTTTGACCTTAGATGTAATTTATGTTTATAATACGAACATGAAGTTTTTTTTTAAATTAAATAAACATATGCTTACAAATCACCCCAATTTCAAAAATTTTAAGCCTTCCAATTCAAATAGATCTCATAATTTAATGCAGAAGATCAAAAAAATTATTCTTATTATTTTTAGAATTTGGATTTGAAAAATATATTGACCAAAAAAACGAGATTTTCGGCCGACCATCTCAAAAATGAATGAAACTTGGCATATTAGTTATTTATGTTGTAAATGTTTATAAAATCAAAATTTTAGATTGCTAGCTCAACCAGATCCAAAGATATACACCTTGAAAGTCGAAAATCGCGAAGTGCGTGATTACATTATATCTTGTTATTTTAAAAATTACTTAAGATAGAGTTACAAATTTTATATCATTTTATAGCCCTTAAAATTTTACGTTGGAAAATGTTTAAAAAAAATTTAAAAAATTTTAAGTGTTTTCTTATTTCCGGTGAAGATAAAAAAATTATCATTGTTAGGAAGGAATTTTTTTAGGTGTTAATATTCACTAAAAAATTTTATTACCCTTATATTAAACGATTTAATAAAAAATCTCGATAGCTATTTTTGTTTTTTTTAATTTTATTTGAATTTTTATTATTTTTATAAATAATATAATATAGATGGCGGTATATTAAATTTATTTTATAATATATAATTTTTAATAAAAATATGAATAATATTGTGATTAAAATTAAAAAATCAATTGAGTATAACCAAGAATGATATCCGGGGGCGATATGTAAACAGTCAGCCCATATAGTTATTATTTTATTGACGCTATATTGTAAAATAAACATATTTTAAAATTTTATATTCAAACTATTATAATTTTGCGCTAATTAATAGCCTAAGGCCATAATTTGTAGATATATCCTTTCATTGTTGTGGATCTACTATCATTATTTTATGAAAATAACGATTTTATCAGTTTATTTTAATTTTTTATTCCTATCATCGCTACCAATCAATCATCATATATTTCAAAACTTAAACATTTTTTACAACCAAATGAATTTATGATAATTTGTGATTTATCTAAAAATTGTGCATTCATAATCCAAGACACTGTTCGGATTCCACTGGAATAATAATCAAGCCACTATCTATCCTATAATAGCATATTATAATAATGGCAATATATAAAATCTTAATTATATGGTAATATCAGAGTCACTTCAACATGATGTTATTGCAGTACATTTATACCAGACTAAAATGATAGAATTTTTGGCCAATCAATTCAGCAAAAAGCCAAACAAAATATATTACTGCTCTGATGGATCAGCTGCACAATATAAAAACATAAATTTTTTTTATAAATCTGTGTTATCATGAATCAGATTTTGGTGTAGCAGCTGAATGACATTTTTCAGCTACATCTCATGGAAAAGATCCATGTGACGGCCTTGGCGGAACATTAAAAAGTTTAGCAGCACGTTCAAGCCTTCAGCGCATCAATTCTGCACACATTTTAACGCCAGTTGATTTATATCAGTTTGCAAAACAAAACATGCAATTATTAAATTTTACATATATAACCAACAAACAATACAATTTACAAGAAATTAAACTATGAGAATGATTCAATTTAGCTCGTCCCATTCCAGGAACTCGGGAAATACATGCTGTATTTCCTTTGAGTTTAAGTAAGCTTAAATCAAAAATATATTCATATGCAGAGGACTTTCAAATTAACCATATCTCAAATGCCGATAATTTGTCTTTTGCCGATATTAAAGAATTCTTAACATGTGTTTATGACGATTTTTGGTGGTTAGCCACAGTACTAAAAAAGAATGAAATTACTGGGGAGATATATATTTCCATTTTACATCCCCATGGACCATCACCATCCTTCTTTTACCCCACAATTGAGGAAAAGATATGGTTACCCATTAATCAAATAATAACAATAGTAGATCCTATTACAGTAACAGGACATACCTACAAATTATCATCTCAAGAAATTCTATTAATAAGCACAAAATAGGATAAGATTAAAACAAGAGGTGTTCATTTTTATATTGTTTGTGTATAAAATTTTAAAATATGTTTATTTTACAATATAGCGTCCTAATAAAATCATATGTATGGGCTGCCAACTTATATATCGCCCCCGGACATCATTCTTGGTCATACTCAATTGATTTTTTAATTTTAATCACAGTACTATTCATATTTTTATTTAAAATTATATATTATAAAAAAATTTTTATTATAACGCCATCTATATTACATTTATTTATTTTAAAAAATAATAAAAATTCAAATAAAATTAAAAAGACAAAAATGGCTATCGAGATTTTTTATTAAATCGTTTAATATAAAGGTAATAAACATTTTTAGTGAATATTAGCACCCCAAAAAAATCCCTTCCTAACAATGTTAATTTTTTGTTTACTGGAAATAAGAAAACACTTGATTTTAATTTTTTTTTAATATTTTCACGTAAAATTTTAAGGGCTATAAAATGATATATAATTTGTAACTCTATCTTAATTATTTTTTAAAATAACAAGATTTAATGAAATCACGCACTTCGCGATTTTCGACTTTGATGGCGTATATCTTTGGATCTGGTTGAGCTATCACTCAAAAATTTTGATTTTCATTCATTTTTGAGATGGGCCGAATCGCTGGTCAATTTGTTATGGAATTACCCATATAGCTTCTTTGAGACTTTGAAAGATGCAAATTGGATAGATATCCTATAATTATGAAATATAAATTGCATCCTAAACATTTAACACTGTACTTTTATAGGAATTAATATCATTCACTGTGAAAGAAACAAAGACCAGATTAAAAAAGAAAACTCTTGCAAATTCAGATATGATGTCGAAGAGCGAATACGAGATCATATAATATCGGGAAGTATTTTCCCCATTGAAAGGAATGGGTTCTCTGGCCCAGGTTATCAATTTGAAACCTGACCCAGTACGGTAAATCCTGTCGTTTATGACATTGTACTAATGGTGAAGAGACATTCTATGGATGTAAATATCCTGCGAAATTATAATTATATGAAATTTGAAAAAAAACGGGGAAAACCGGGAAATTTTCTTTTTATATTTTTTTTACTAGTCAATATTGATTTTTTATTCAAGTTCTATTACAAATGCATAAATTATAAACTTATTATAAAACAAGTATGATATAATTTAAATTATTTTGTTTGTTATCTTCGTTTAAAGATTAAAATATCCGGTTTTTATGATTTTTTAAATCTCTATAATTTCCCTCTGCAAGAGATTTGATATTATTTTATAATTGTTAAATATCTCCTGATATAAATAAATGCCCGAGAAACGTAAGATAAAATGGATTTATTCGCTTACACTATCTATTTGAATAGAAATGGCTTTTATAATGATTACAGGATATTTAAAAAACTTTCATTATGAAGAAGAGTAAGTCTCTTATCTCTATCTGTAATATCAAGTATCGCCTTTTCTGGTAAATACCTTTTTTAAACAGGCTATTAATGATAAAAGCTATACTTGCCCAGTGAGTTGAGATATTACTTTAAGGAAATAATCTTATTTTCTGAATAACTGTTTTCCTTTAAATGTTGATAAATGAATATTGTTGGATTATACATTTCTTTAAAATATTTTTGGCCTTTGCTACTACAATTGGAAGCAATATTTTATTTGTTATATTCTTTAAAAGCAAATTAAGTCAATGTGCTTCACACCAGATGCATTTGATAGCTGGATATTTAATTCCAAGTGTCCATGTTTTCTTCAAATTATTTGCATTATCAGTTATTATGGTGTAAATTTTTGTTTCATATTTCTTCAATTACTTTACAAAATTCATTAGATATATTCTACCTTATGCATATTGGTTTCTGTTTCAATTTAGTTATAGAATATGGGACTTAGGATTGCTATAATAAAATTCATAATGCTTTCTCCTCTTATTTTTTGTCTAGCCATTTCGTTTTAATCCTTGCATATTCATTGTTTAACAAATTCTGACTGAGTAAACCTATCCCATATACCCAACCTTTTACTCATCTACCTCAGTTATTACGTTTTAGTTTTAAATATTTTTCTGCTAATTAGAGCTATTATATTATCTTATCGATGATTAAAATCGATCAAAAAAGAGTCATTGTCGTGGATCTCAAATCGAATGAAATTTTGAATTATAATAATTTTTTTGTGCGGACCAGTGCAATTTAATTTTTTTTGTTTTGCTTAATTAGTTTTGGAGATATGGCGGGTTAAAGTTAAAAAATAGCATCCTTACAAATTTGGAAAACGCGATATAAATAAAAGTCAAAAAATATAAATGATAAAGATTTATATTTGGTATTATTAGATATCCCTTAAAAATCACTTTCTTAAAAATAATTAAATTTTTTTAAAAAAAAATCTCAGGTGTTTTTTTTATTTCCAATGTAAAGGTTGAGTTTTTAATGTCTGATTGAGCTTAAAATTTTTAAAAATTTGTAAATTTATATTTAAAAAAATAGCTTGGGAAAATCATTATTTTTTTAGTTATTTTAATTTTTTATAGATAAAAATTCATTATGAATGGCGATGTGCTAAAAAATCTAAATTGTTATTTTTAAATAAAATTAATATAGAACAATATTTTAATAATAAAAATAAAAATAAAAATTTACAAATAAAGAACCTCAATTGTTTACTACCAATTTTTTTAAAAATGGAAATTTATTTTTGCCATAATATATTTTTTTAAACTTAGGTGCCGCCTCAAATAAATGAACTAAGGCATTTAACCTACCTAGATTTATCCTCCAACAAACTTAGGTGTTTACCACCTGAAATGGGAGATTTGATAACTCTACGAGAACTGCACTTGAATCACAATTATGTGAGAACGCTTCCCCTAGAGTTAGGGCGACTCTTTCAATTGCTAGTGCTTGGACTCAAAGGTAGCTATTGTCATTTGTAATTAGTAGCCTTATAAGCATAATTTTTGAGTTAACTGGTGTCCTTAATACTTAAATAAAGTTGGAAAATCTATAATAAAATAAGATTAACAAACTTTTACTGCATCCTATAAGAGATCATATAGTGTATCATTCATTATACAGGTAATCCTCTAGCTCCAGAAATTTTAAGGATATACAGCGAAACCAATGGAACCCAAAAGCTTTTAACCCATCTCCTCGACAATTTAATGACTCTAGCTTGTTGCCCGACCTCGAACTCTTCGTCATCTACTCGTAATTTTAAATATGTTATATATCTTTTATGCTGTTGTTCAAATTAGGTGAATGCTCGCACATTAACCAAGTTCAAGTTCGTTATAATTGATTAAATAAAACGTCGTCTCTTCTTTAATTTTAAATGGGACCCGTCACAAAGACGCTATCCCTTGGAGGGGACTTAGTCTTTTTGGAAATAGATAGGCAGCGAACAAATTTAGATTCATTAGAATATATTTTAAATTTGGGCTGGTAAAATGTCACATTTATGGTTATATAAGACCATTCTCATTAATTTCTTCTTCCATTTAAAAAGCATGCGAAGATTATAAAAAAAATATGGATAAATTATACTTTTTTTTCAAAGGATGTAAAGCGCATACTTCGAAAAATTTTCACATTTTTAAATTAAAATTTTATAATTGATTCCATTTCAGTTTTTTTTAAAAATACCAGGATGGGACGCGATCCGAAACACACTATATTATGACTGACAGCGTTTCAGTCGGAGATGTATTCATCTAGAGAATGAGCGGGTTTTAAAAAAAATTAACCCGCTCGTCTATAGTTTTAAGTAATTACCTTCCCGCCCATTTATTAAAATTTTTTAACCCGCTTTCCCTGTGTTTGAATTATTTGATTGATTGTTTTGGCGCTTTATTTATTTTAAATAGCCAACATTATGAGATGAAGAATTAATTTTTAATAAATACCCCTGCTCATTCCGCCCCTAGAATAATTTTCAATCCCCCGTCTGCCCATTGTTTTAAAAAAGCATGTCCGCCCAATATTTAATTTTTTAGCCCACATGTAGACCTTTAGTTTGCATTCTATTGTGATAATTGATACCAGAAAGTTATTTTTTTTCTGTTTACAATATTACATTACTAGATATCTTATTTTAAATTATGACAGAAATAAGTAATAGAAAAATCCTTTAGAAATTATCATTATAATATATATATATACCACTTGTAATAATAAAATTTTGCAATTAAAATTAATTTTTAATTGCTGCATATGATATTAATTATAGTAATTTTTAATATAATTGATTTTCATATATTAATTCCTGAACACCATTTAAATTCAAGAGGGCACTGCGTATGATAAAATTAAATAAACACTTATAAAAAAACGCATACAATTATGATAGTTATCAGGGAAGACTCACCCAACAACAAAATTAAAACTGGCAAAAATAACGCTAATAAATCAATCTTCCGTGACAAAAAAATGGATAATGAGCTACGTCAATCGGACATCATGGATTTCGATTTTCGGCGTGCCACTTCAGGTCTTCCTTCTCAAGCCTCCGGAATCATTCCTTCCTTACTCGAAGATCCTATTCCGCTCAGGTTTTTTTAAAATGTTTTTTTATGCTTATAACTCCCATTCTATATTATAACAATTGGATTTATTTATTTTCATTCTTTTTTTTGTTAAATGGAGTGATTCTGCTCTTCAAGTTTTTATTCAATTATTATATAATAAACAAGATTTTATATATTCTCTTGAAAGAAAGAAAGGAGAAGAGAACCTATCTTCCTTCCTTCCTTCCTTCCTTCCTTCCTTCCTTCCTTCCTTCCTTCCTTCCTTCCTTCCTTCCTTCCTTCCTTCCTTCCTTCCTTCCTTCCTTCCTTCCTTCCTTCCTTCCTTCCTTCCTTCCTTCCTTCCTTCCTAGAAAGAAAGAAAGGGGTCATTCCATGTCAAATCAATCACTTTTCGGCCGACCCCTTTCGATTTCGATAAAAATTCGTAGGCTGGTTATATATGTTCCCATTAGATTATAAACAAAATTTTAGCGCATTAGAAACTATATTAGCGGAGATATTCGGGGTTAAAGGTCCAAAAAACGTCTTTTTTTGCTTTTTACTGATATTAAATAATTAGTTTTTAATTTTAAAACTAAATATGATCAAATATTGAATCTAATATCAATAGCTAAGTTAATAATTTATAATTATGGCTAAAAACATCAAAATTGATTTTTGATAAAATATGGGTCATCTTATGGTCAGTTGAAAACTTGAAATTAATATTTCGAAATGTATATGATCTCCGATTTTTAATTTTTTTAAGAAATATTATCCGTTTACTATTTTTTTAATAATTTCTTCAACAATTAGCATGGCTGGATATTTATTTAAAAAAATATTGCGATTTTTATACTTTTAAAAAATAGATGACGCTATATATAATAGTTTTAATATGTTAAAATACATTTTTTTTATTGATTAAAAATATTTTAATGTATATATATCATACTAAATCGATTACAATGTGCATTATATATATTTATTTGTAATTCAGATCATAAATTTTTAAAATCTTCACAAATTTTACCTAATTAAGATAGTTTATAAATTAATTAAATCTTACTTTATCTAAAGGAATACAAAGCCTGGCTAGCTTGTGAGATTCTTCAGGAGATAATATATATGTTCGACTGGTGGGAGTAGAAGGATTGACCAGCGAGAGAATATGAGATTTAGGCAACACTAAAATATTATCTTTCAAAGGAAATTTAAATGAGGCTGAAGGTCCACGAGGGTGTAAAAATCGGATTTTTACTTCTTCATTTGTATAAATTTTATCGATTATATATCCTAACCACCATTTATCATCATATACACATGTTATATATCCATTAATATTTTAAAATATAATTTTCTCATTTAAAAACGGAACTTGTTTTATATTATATTTTTTGGAATTAGAATATATTTTGGTTTTTAGTTTATTTTGATCAATGGGAATAATCCCGTGAATTTTTTGGGTCCCATGTATGGGCAGTGCAGAATTAAATCTTTTACGAAGAGCTAATTCCTCTTCGATATATTCTTGATTGGATACATATTCAAATTGAATATTAATATTTTCTTTAGCATAATTATATAATTCTAATGGGGTTAGGATTTGATTTTTATTTGGCCTTTGAAGACTAGCTCTGGCAACTAATCTTTTGACAGTTCCTCCGATACCGTCACATGCATTTTTGCCGTGAGCAGTGACAAAGAAATGCCATTCGGCAGGAATATTAAAATCGTATTTATGAAGGCATATGTTCAGAAAATTTTTGCGATTCTTGTATTTAGACGCGGCTTCATCCGAAAAATATATTATTTTTTCTGGTTTAGAATTAAATTTGGCTGTTAAGAATTTAATGAATTTTTTTTGATAAAGTTGGACTGCACTAGTATTATGGCTTAATGATTCGGACAAAATAACAAAATTTATATTTTTTAATTCTTCTCCAGATTTATAATATGCTACAAATGGATGTATAGTGGCCTGCACATTGTTCCAATGAAATCCCTGAACTTCATCTTGTAAAATAAGGGAATAATTTTCAGAATAATCTAGAATTGTTAAAAATTCCTCATCTTTTAAATTTTCTTTGGAATTCTTCAAAAATAAACTTTGTGTTTAGCTATAAACGAGTGAATTCGATGAAACCATCAATGGACTTTATAATAGTTTCAAGATTTGCTCTATCCACCGTGATCCATTGTTTAAACGTGACATATTCTAAACGATTTCTCTGAAACAATTGGTATAATTGGCCCATAAGAGATTCTATACAAGGGCATTGATCACAATTTGTTAAATAACATTTTGGCTGAGATGGATTACAAATAATTTGCGCCAAAAGATTGTTATAAGAATTTATACAGTAATCTTCTGCTGTAATTTCAGCTATTACATTTGTCATTAATTTCACATTCTGATGAATGGCGCAGACACAAACAGTGTGTGTGCCATCCAACTAAAATTCAGTTTTTTGGTCTAAGTTCGGCAAATTTAGGGAATCCAATTGATATACTTGGGTATTCTTCCTTAAACATCTTGAATATTTCTTTAAGATTATTTAATATAAACCTTTGCTGATTCTTTCTCGCCTTTAACAGATACACAATCTTTTATTCCAGGCATGAGTCGGCTTATTTCATCAGAACTATAATTTTGTTATTTTTATTGCTTAAAAAAATTTTCAAAATCTTTGAAATTATTTTTATCTCTGGTTATTTTAATAATGTAAGATAATGACAATTTCATAACATTATTGGTCTTGATGAGTATTATTTAGTCTGGGGGGGGGGAGGGTTGGGGGTAGGCCTAATAATTAATGTGATTTTCGATTTTTCCCTTAATAATTTTCCTGCACCCCTTTAATCCTGCTTTTTTGTTCGTGTGCTAGTCCGATTCTTTAATTATTTTAATTTACATTGAAATATTAAAAAAATTATTAAAATTTTTTATCCTGCGAATATCTCAGGGGAATAAGGTTTACAAAGTTATATGATCGAATTTTATGATATATTATACATTAAAATATTTATAATCAATAAAAAAAATGAATTTTAACATATTAAAACTATTATATATAGCGCCATCTATTTTTTTTAAAGTATAAAAATCGCAATATTTTTTTAAATAAATATCCAGCGATGCTAATTGTTAAAGAAATTATTAAAAAAATAGTAAACGGATAATATTTCTTAAAAAAATTAAAAATCGGAGATCATATACATTTCGAAATATTAATTTCAAATTTTCAACTGACCATAAGATGACCCATATTTAAAAAAAAATTATTTTTGATGTTTTCGCCATAATTATAAATTATTAACTTAGCTATTGATATTAGATTCAATATTAGATCATAATTAGTTTTAAATTAAAAATTAATTATTTAACATCAGTAAAAAGGAAAAAAAGGCGTTTTTTGGACCTTTAACCCCGATTATCTCCGCAAATATAGTTGCTAATGCGCTAAAATTTTGTTTATAATCTAATGGAAACATATATAACCAGTCTACAACTTTTTATCAAAATTGAAAGGGGTCGGCCGAAAATCTTGATTTTTTTGCTCATTTGACATGGAATGACCCAAAGATGGAGTAAGTTATTTTGAATAATTCGGTATATGGGAAATACGTTTTTATGACTCTAATCTTAATATGTTTATGGAAATTATATGAACCGAACCAGAGTTTCTAAAAATACTTTTCAAATATATCCAAATAGCAATACATGGCATTAATGGTATCTAAATATAAGATACATTCTCTAAAATATATCCAGATATAGACACAATTTTTCAATACATTTTTTACTATTAAAAGCATTCGCTTAACATCAAAATTGTTAATTTAGGGAAAACTCAAATTTTGAATTGAACTAAACATTTTTATTCAGTATTTATGTTTTACTTTTTAATAAAACATTTTTAAAGTTTTTACCAGAGGCATTCCCTTATATCCTTTATTTTAGCCATACTAAAAGACTTCACTGGTGCACTGCACTGGAAATTATTGTTGCCTTATGAATAACACATTTATATTTAGTAGGATAATCCATAATAAAATCCTTATTTTTTATAAAATCATTTAAAGTTTGATGGGTGTTATAAAAATTTCTTATCTTATCCTCTATGGGCTACTAAAAATAGTGTATTAAATCTTTCAATATAATTTTTGGGATTTTCTGGTTATCCATTATGTAAATAAAATTTGCCATTAGTTTTTATTGTAAAAAATTAAATTCGGACAATAAATTTAATACCAAAAATAGGATTAAATATTTTTAATATAATTATATAGAGATAGGTATTAATATACTGATACAAGATTTACATATCTAGATATAACTGATATGAACTCAAAATCCTATTTTACAGGATCCAATTTATAAGACTATATTTTAAAATTATATACATCCTTCCAGACGATTTATTCAACTTGTCGAACCGAATTATAGAAAGCAGATGACTAATTCTAATCGTGATAAAGACCGAGCCAGTGGTAAAAGAAATAAAGGAAGATACGAGGAGGGTAAAACAAGTTCACAATTTTTATTGTTCTAAATAAAAGAATCAAAAAGAAAGAACTTGATTAAATCTTAACATTTATAATTAAAAATCTGAAGGTTATTTATTTTGAATTATTTAAATTTAAGTAGATTGATTAAATAAAATTCAAGGATTCCATTGTATTAAAATTCTTAATACAATAAGATAAACACTTTATTTCAAATTTTTTATTTTACATCCTCAGAAACATTAAAAAAAATGATAATGATTTAGAGTGTAAAAGGACAACCATTCGTATGATTTTTTTTTAAAACGATATTTAGTCCGGATAGTTATAAAAAATTTATATAATAAGTGATTATTTTTTATATTATTAAATAATAGTTAGCATTGGTGTACTATTTGTATATCCAAGATATTCTAGGGAGGATACGACTTTTTGATCCCCCCCCCATATGATTTTATTTAAGGACTTTACTAGTGTGGTTTAAAAGGGGTTTTCTTACGACTTCGACGATGGGCCTCTTTTATTCTCCGCCTTAGCCTATTATTATCATGGGTAATTTATATACCTTTCTTTTTTTTTTTAGCCTAGGCGGGCTTTTGGATTGAAATCGGGTATTTTTGTTGCCTATTTTTTTAGGAAAAGAAATAATATAAAAAAAAGAGCTCACTCATTTTAATTTAGAAAGAATTTAACCGTCATTTATAAATCTAAACTAGAAATTGCAATGAAATATTTCATTTTTTTAAAAAAAAATGATTACTAAAAGAATGAGTATAATGTTTTTAATGGTTAAAACGAAAGTGGAAGATATCAAAAACTTCTGTGAGAGAAGGTATGACGCAAGAGCGTATGGGGGGGGGTGGCATTAAGACGATCGCCATTTGAATAAAATTGAAGAATGATTAGTGGATATTTTAGAATTTCTATGCTAGCTAGGCCAATTTCTATTGGCCTACTCAGAAGCTCAAATTTTTTAACAATTCCCCCAAAACTCTTTTTAATTGTGCAAAGGATAGACCAGTAATTAAATACCTTTTATATAAATAATTACTAATGAATTAAGTTTATTTTATATTCAGAGAAAAGAATTCTTTTAACATATATTTGAGATGTCTTTATATTTTTTTAAGCAAATATATGGCAAGCATTTTTTTTTGTTTTAAATTTATACGTTACATACTGAAAAAATAAAACTTAACGCTTCAATTTAAACACAGCTGCTTTTATTTTTTTATATTCGTTTTTAAACGCTGCGTTGAAACGTTCAATACATGTGCACTATATTTGTATTCATTTTTAAAAATTTCTATCGACTGACTCGAATAATAATTATTCTCATATGGAATTTTTTTTTAAATTAAGATGTTAAAGTTTTCATCTTATTTTTTTAATAAATGGAATCCGTTATATTTTTTTTATTAAATTTTTTTGCATTTTCAGTTCAAATAAGAAATTTATACTTTTGTATAAACGATCCAAATAACAACTTAGACAGTAATAACACATCAGATGATTTTTACACTTCCGGTCGTACGAATTATATAACTAATTTTACCGAAACCATGTGTTCCCATGATGCCAATAATTATGGTTTATTTTTCTTTCCTATAACCGAATTCTCGAGATTGTTAAGTATGGCTTATAAAAATATACATAATCTCAATAGAAATTTTGAAAAATCACCTATTTTTCCATGTTAAGAGCTTCTAAATTATTAAGTATATATAAGCCTATCTATCATAATTTGTGGCTCAAATTAAACTAACTTGAGTGACCTTTCAAACCCCAAGTTTGTTTCTGAGCTTGGTTAGAATTTCACATTCCTTAAATAGCTGAATGTGGCATTTAATTAGTAATTTACAGCACGTTATATCATTTTATTGAATCCCGGAAAAAAAACCCTGGATTTTTTTTCCATATTTATAGAATTTACTTAAGACCTAATAATATAGATATATTTTTATTTGGATTATAATGGATACTCATATTTAAAATGTATAGACAAATTAGTATTTTAGAAAAATATTATATATTAATAAGCTAAATTTCTTTAGACCCTAACTCATTATTTAAAGATTATTCATATACCATCAATAAAAAATGCTTAAACAAGATAAAATGCGGAAGTTCAAATTGGTACTGGGAAATACCCCAGTAAAATAACCCATGTATTTCTTATTTTCGTAAAGATTATTTGCTATAGTAATAAATACAATATCCATCCTAAATTACGATATTAAGTAGACTAAATTTGACAAAATTTTATAATAAAATATATATATTTTATTGGTAAATCAAGATTATATATATACAAATTTAATAATTTAAAATAATAATTATATTGATTGATATCGAATATTGAAGGAAGTTGCCCTTATAAAATCTAGAAGGCTTCGCACCCCATCACGGTATTCCTTGCAAAGTTTCTTTAATCTCATCTGGGTATTATAACTCCGCGATTTTTTTTTGATGTTCAACTATCTACACTCAAGTTTGGTTTCATCCTTAGCCACCTCGCATTCCATTTTTTAAATCAATACCCATATTGATGGGTGTTTATTCCCAACCAGACAAAATGATGATTCCAACCTTCGCGTTGATTATTTGCGCGTTTTTCGTCGGATAGAGTGCTCTGATTTACGTTCCAAGTTTCTGGAGGAAACGAGGCTCAATTCGACGTGTTTGGAATTAAGAATTGCTTCTTGTGTCAAATTCTATAAATATGAAAAAAAAATTCGGGGGTGTTTTTCCGTGGGGTATCTTTGGGGGGTTTTTTCCGGGGGGAGGGGGGTTTCTATTACCCATTTTATTGATATCATAATGATGAGTATAAAATTTCTAATAAAAATTATGTTTTTATATTAAAATGATTTCTGTCATGCTGTTATCAAACAAAAAATATTATATAAACCTATCTCTAGATTTGGTCCAAAGAGGGTCAAACCTTTCTGCCTTTTATATGTAAGGCAATTTTTTTATAGGTTAAAATCTTGATTTCGCCGTGACAATATTTGTGGATTGGTTAATACTTATTTTATGTCAGTTTTTTAATTATATTCTTTTATCGCTAAACTAAGGATCACCAAAAACTCTTTACAGCAGAGCTGTGAACTCTCGTTTTAAAAAGGGTTCAGGGTCAGTAAAAAAATCCATGGGTTTAGAGTCCAGAAGACTAATTATAGTTAAAACAACAGAAGCATCAGTTTTTGAATTTATTTTATTATATTTGATATTCATTATAAAAATAATTTATCAGAATAATGCAATAAAATATATTTAAGTAAATTATCATGATACAATCTAAAATAACATTGAGACTTCCATCTAACTCTGACATATCTTAATGATGAAAATGCTCCTTCAAAGCTAGCCTAATAATTAATTCATATTATATAATATATATAATGTACTTGTGTTTCTGGAAAACTTGGAACAATATTAGCCAGTGTATAATATTGTTGACTTCCCACAAGTCAACAATATTTACATCCTTATTAATCCTTTTAATATGTGAGAATATTTTTGACAAAGAAATGATCATAATCTGTTCACTTTCATATTGGTCTAATTTTATTTTATTTTTCTAAAAACAACTTTTCAAAATCATCATCAAGATCATTTGTAGATTAAATTAATGTTGTCTTCGACTATCTTTTAATTTAAAATCTAACAAACAACATTAACTATTAAAATATATATTATTATAGTTATGATAAACAATTTTACAAAATGTGGTGGTAAAATTTTTACATAAATTAATAAAAATGATTTTCACAAAAAAATGTTTTTAGTGTTGATGATGTCCCATCGCCTGAATCCAATAGAGAAAAGGATTGGGGCAGGTCAGTTATAGCATGCTACGTTGAATCCCTATTATCTAGCATTCTCTCTTCACTTCTTTACTTAATGAATCCGGGCATGAATTTTTAGAAGTCATTCTTTCCAAAAATCTTTAACTCCAACTAACCGACAGTGAACTAACCCATTCAATAGGAAACCGCGTAATTGTTCAAAAACCTTTACTCACTTCTGCTCTGGCTGCAGAATCCCCATAGACTGCAAAGGGTGACTCTCCTTACATTGCAGATCGTGCAAAGGACGACTCCTCAGGCACACACAATGCAATTACTTGATCCAGTAAATGGAAAGTGGCCTGACGGAATCACCCTGATCCCATTGAAACGGGGCCAATTTCTGGTTTGGGACTATTCTTGTATAGATTCATTAACCTTATCCAACCAAACTCCAAACCTACTTGAGCAAAAAGAACAACATAAAATTTCCAAATATTCGGAAATATCATAAGATCACATCTTTACCCCAAGAATATTCACTACCTTAACCTCCTTTGGTAAGCTTGCATTATCCTTCTTCAAGGATTTCGAATCTTACATCCTCAAGCATACCAGCGATCCTCGAGAAGGCTTCTTCAGGCAGAGACTGGCCGTAGCTATCCTTAAAGCTAATTATCGAAGTTTCAATGACAGTCTTCTCTCCACAGATCCGCTAGATTCACTTTTATCCCCTTATTCTTATCATTTTAGTTTTACACTATATTTCATTTTATATTATTTAATTTGGAATTTATTTTATTTATATATAAAAATTTTGTGTTGACTTATATTATGATTAATAAAATACTATAAAATATTGAAAATTAATATTTAAAAAAAAACAATTCCTGGACCCTAAATCTAAAAAGAGGTTGGGTTCTAGTTCAGTAAAATCTCGAGGATTCCGCTTCTCGACCCTGCTTTTCAAAACCTCAGTTGTTTGTTTAAGGCTACCACCGACTCCATTCTCAGATATTTTTTAAATATATAGAAACAAAATAGATTATTTTAAAATATTACGCAATCTATTAAAAATTTGACGATCTAATAGACATGGTTAAAAAAAATTTTTTTTTAAAATGATTTAAACATTCGTATAAAAGCTTTTCGTGGGAAGGTGTTCAATAAAATTTTGACTTAATTTAGAAGTTTTAGAGTGAGCTTTAAAATATATACTGAATTAAAGAGAGCCAATAATTATAAGTGAGGGTAATTTCTTTATTACGAATGGAATTAAAATAGTGTCAAATCTTATATTAAAAAATGAATATGGACATAGTCATAATAGTTGACAAATTTATTGTTAATCAATAAATATTTATATTTATGCTTTTCAATAAATAATAACCTTTTTGGATATTTATAAAAATATAAGGTGGCTTTACTTTCGCTAAACCAGACTTTTTTGTGGTAGCAAACGATTCATCTTCTGAAGGTGATAACTATTACGAAGAAAAGGAGAGTGAAAATCGTCCGCCAAAAACTGGATCCAAGACTATCCTCAAGGAAAATACAACTTCGAGACCTCGTGATATAAAAAAATTGAGTTTGAATTTACCTTGTTATACTTGTTAAATTTTTTTTATATAAGACTATTAAAACCTATGATCGAGGAATTTCAAAAAAATCTAAAATTCTATATAGTTTATTTAAAATGGAATAAATTTATAAATTAAATACAAAAATAAAAAAATCATTCCCAAAAATATAATTGTTTTACAAAATAAATATAACATCAATTATTAGCCCTTGTTGAGAGCATTCATAAGACCCAGTTAGCCCCTAGAAAAAGAGTTATTACTTAAAATCCTGTAAATATAGGTTTGAATTTTTCAGTACCTAATTTGTCTAAAAATACGTATGCAAATTTTAGTCTAATTTTGATTAATTGCTTTTGAAATATCAATTTTTTTTTTATAAATTTTAATCAGCCCAAATTTTTTTTTATATATGCTCTAATTTCAATATAAATGGGTATTTTGGGCAATTTACTTTTTAACAATTAAAATTATTTAATATCTATAAATAAAAAGCAAAAAAATACAATAATATAATTTCAATTATTGGGGAAATATTAACGACTATATTTTTGCTGAAAGGAGTTTGATTTTATTTTGAAATATAATTTGATTTCAATCCTTTCTTTGGGAAATATTGTTTGTATTACTTACGAATGTTTAAGAATTCAAGGTTACCTATAAAATTACCTAAATCATATAAAGAAAGTTAAAATATATTATAAGGTGAGGTGATCATCTCTACAAACTTTTTACGAGGAATAATACTATCTGAGAGGGTTTTTTTAAAAAAAATTATTTTATAAAACTTAGGACTACATTTCCTATATATTGGAAATACACGAGGCATTCAAATTCTTTATTTTGAGATAAGTTATTCGATATTAGCGTTGTTAAGCGGCAAACTAGATTTTTTTTCGCCAAAAATATTACTCAAGCCTGAGATTTTACTCATAAACGAGACAGAAAGGTTTGGACATCTATTAGCGAAATCTCGAGGCGCTTACACAAATTATTTATTTATTTAAGATGTCGGTGAAAATAAGCTTGCTAAATCTTCTGCTGATTCCCAGACGACATCATATGAATCTGCAGCGCAAGAAGGCTCGTCCTGTATATCATTCAGTGAAGATAGTTATTGTTCGTCCTCTATATCGGATATCAACGATTCTGACGATAGTAAAAAACGAAACAATATTTAAATATTTTATAAAGTGATCAATAAATGAATTGGTTACCATAACTTTCTCATAAAACTTGATATTAAGTAATTTAAAAAAAATTAATTTAATATACTTTTATATTTTCTTACGCCAAGAGAATAAAATAATCACATGTGCTGAAGTAGATGTTCTAAAGCTGCCAGTAAAATCAAAAATCCCTGGCTCACCCAATCAGCGTAAAGATAACATTCTTATGAAAGTAGATGAATCTAAAAAATCTATTAAAAAAACAACAGCTGATGATTCCATTACATCGGCAGAAGAAAAAACACTCACATTTACTAAAACAAATGATAAAAATGATGTAAATAGAGATCAAAAAATTTCGAAATTTGAAGAAAATATGAATGATAAATCTTCCGTCGATAACGAAACTTCAATATCTACTAAAATCGACGACGACAACAAAATCACCAAATCAGATGAAAAGTGCCTTGTTAAAACTAATGAAAAATCGCCAAAATTTTTAAAAACAGATTATAATATAACCGCCGATGACAAAATCCAAAAATTGGAAATCGAAATGACAGAAAATTTCAACGTACATGATAAAATAGAAAACGTAAAAATCTCTAAATCCTTGGAAGCAATTTGTATAAACGATTTGCCCACTAAATCTTTTAAAATACACAAAGAACCTAATAACACGTTCACCCTTATGTGCTATAACATTTTATGCGACAAGTATGCCACCCGTCAATTATACGCTTACTGCCCGACATGGGCCTTGGCCTGGGCCTACCGAAAACACAGGATTCTATCCCAGCTTGCCGAATCAAAGTTTGTGGTGTAGTATTTTTTATTATTTCTATTTTTCTTTCGATCTATCTTTTTTTAAAATTTAATCTTCAAGAAAAGAAAATTCAATCTAATATAATTATTTCAAAATAAAATTTTATTTACAATATGAGCATTCTATTTATATTTATTTATATATTGGTATTAGTAAACTAATTGAACATAACTTGTTTATTTTAATATTTTTTTAAATTATATTTTCTAGGGTGGCTACGGTTAGACCTTAGTCTTGTCATGAATTTCCGGGAAATTGGGTGGCTTTTTTACCATATTTATGGAGAGTTTTAGGCCCGCTCTTTGGTCTTAAGTCGATTATTTTAATGTTTTTTGATTTCATACTCATTTATAGTGATTATTTAAAAAAATAATAACATATTGTTTGGTTAGGGGGAGGGTGGGGGGGGGGGGCAGAAAAAATTTAAGGCGATCATTTTTATTCGGTTAAAATGATATTAATGAAAGCTGCCAAATTTGCTAGTGAAAATTTTTCCCTCCCCACCAATTGGTTACGCCAATGGGATCATTTAATTAATATTAATAATTTTTATTTTTTTATCTAAATAAGTAAGATTATAATTTTGAAAAAATCATTAGCTAGAATCTAAGCTAAGGCTACAAGTTGACTTGACTATAAAAATCTTCACATTAATTTTGATACCGCATATGTTATATTGTAAATTAAGCCATTTATACATGTTTTCAAAATTAAAATTATTTCTTACCTTATGGCCACCTAATCATTTATAAACCCATTTAAAATTGTTTGATTGTCCTTTGCAAACTATCACATTATTCAAGATAGTTATGATGACCATTATACATGAGATTAATATTATGTTTATTTTTAAGTGTGACCTAAAATCTTGATTACTCCTATATAGGAGAATAAATTATTACTTCTTTACAAATCTATTAGAATTGTTGGTTAGCACGGGAAAAATAAACACACCCACTTTTTATACTTTACTTTTATAAATCTAGAGCGGATATCCTTTGCCTGCAAGAGGTAGAAACAGAGCAGTTCTCAGATTTTCTTCTTCCGGAATTGGAATTTCTCGGTTACGATGGAATTTTTGCCCCAAAATCTCGCGCCAAAACTATGCGGCATGAAGAGCGTAAGTTCGTGGACGGGTGCGCCATTTTCTACAAGCGATCGCGCTTCAGACTGCTCAAGAGTCACGTGGTTGAGTTCAATCAGGTGGCCATTGCTAAGGCTGAAGGTAGGAAAGAAATATAGAGTGAATAAAAGATGAAGAAGAAAAATAAGGAATAAATAAAATGGAAAGATAGGTTGAGCTTAGTGTTGCGTAATCGGCTAATTTTAGCCGATTATAAAACGGCTTAGCCGAGATTTTAGGTGAATAAATCGGCTAAGCCTAAAAATTGGCTAAAATAAATTAGTCAAAAATTCTGCATCGATGCCTAGCATTAATTATTATTTATTTATTTTATTCATATTTAATGTAAATATTTTATTATTATCAACAAATAAACATATGATTTAATATTTTTTATTTATATAGTTTTATTTTGAAATGAAAATAAATTTATTTATTTTATGTTTTTTTAATAAAAAAAAAATAATATGCGGCTATTGTAAAAATGTAATATTCTTTTTAATATAATTTATTAGTGATTTTCACAATCTTCTTTGTAAATACATCTTTAATTGAGGAATTATATTGTAAATTTTATTAGATAAAAAAACAATCTTTTAGGTGAAATTTTTTATAATATTTTTTTAACAATTTTGTAAAATTATCTATTTTTTTATTAAATGAGGTGTTTTTTTTAAAATAATTTTATAATCTTTTTAAGGATAATATTTTAATGTGACAATATTTTATAATCTTTTTAAGGATAATATTTTAATGTGACAATTGTCATAATCGTTATTTTTAAAGTTTTTTGATTTTTTTTGACGAAAATAGATTAAAATAAGTATTGATAACATGTTTAAATAAAATTTAGTGAAGATGTACCATAGAAAAGTGACAATTATCATAATCGTTATTTTCAAAGTTTTTTGAATTTTTTTGACGAAAATATGTTAAAATAAGTATTGATAACATGTTTAAATAAAATTTAGTGAAGAAGTACCATAGATAAGTGACAATTGTCATAATCGTAGTTTTTAAAGTTTTTTGAATTTTTTTGACGTAAATAGGCTAAAATAAGTATTGATAACATGTTTAAATAAAATTTAGTGAAGAAGTACCATAGATAAGTGACAATTGTCATAATCGTAGTTTTTAAAGTTTTTTGAATTTTTTTGACGTAAATAGGCTAAAATAAGTATTGATAACATGTTTAAATAAAATTTAGTGAAGATGTACCCTAGAAAAGTGACAATTGTCATAATCGTAGTTTTTAAATTTTTGAATTTTTTTGACGAAAATATGTTAAAATAAGTATTGATAACATGTAAATAAAAATTTAGTGAAGATGTAAAGTGACAATTGTCATAATCGTTATTTTTAAAGTTTTTTGAATTTTTTTTGACGAAAATCGATTAAAATAAGTATTGATAACATGTTTAAGTGAAGATGTACCATAGAAAAGTGACAATTGTTATAATCGTTATTTTTAAAGTTTTTTGAATTTTTTTGACGAAAATATGTTTAAATAAGTATTGATAACATGTTTAAATAAAATTTAGTGAAGATGTACAATAGATTGACAATTGTCATCATCGTAGTTTTTAAAGTTTTTTGAAATTCTTTGGCGTAAATAGGCTAAAATAAGTATTGATAACATATTTAACATAAAAAAAATCCAGGACGGGCCGGCCCTGAATATATAAAGTACGGACTATAAATCCTAGCCAGGCCTAATTTTTTTTTGAAAAAAGGAGCCTGGACGAAATTTTTATATTTTAAAATTAGGGCCATGCAAATAACACCTCTACTGCTATCTCATAAATTAATTATTTACAAAAACCACATTTAAAAATTCATAAACAACACTAATATGAATAAAAATTATCTTTACATCAAATTTTATGAAAAAATAAAAAAAATGTCGAGTTAATAATTGATTATTTATTAATCAAATTATCTTTAGCTTAAAAAAAATAAATATTTGTATTTTAAATTCTTAACCAAAATTAATTATAGCACTAATTTTAACCTATTTGCTTCAAAAAACTTAAAAATAACGATTATGACAATTGTCGCTTATCTAGAGTACATCTTCACTAAATTTTTAATTAAACATGTTATCAATACTTATTTTATTTTCGTCACTAAAAATAACGATTATGACAATTGTCACTTTTCTACGGCACATCTTCACTATTTTGTTTAAACATGTTATCAATACTTATTTTAGCCTATTTACGTCAAAAAAATTCCAAAAACTTTAAAAACTACGATTATGACAATTATCACTTATCTATGGTACATCTTCATTAAATTTTATTTAAACATGTTATCAATACTTAATTTAACATATTTTCGTCAAAATACTTCAAAAACTACGATTATGACAATTGTCACTTTTCTACGGTACATCTTCACTAAATTTTATTTAAACATGTTATCAAAAAAAATCCAAAAACTTTAAAAACTATGATTATGACAATTATCACTTCTATGGTGCATCTTCATTAAATTTTATTTAAACATGTTATCAATACTTAATTTAACATATTTTCGTCAAAAAATTTAAAAAACTTCAAAAACTACGATTATGACAATTGTCACTTTTCTACGGTACATCTTCACTAAATTTTATTTAAACATGTTATCAATACTTATTTTAACATATTTTCGTCAAAAAACTTTATAAATAACGATTATGACAATTTTCACTTATCGACGGTACATCTTCACTAAATTTTATTTAAACATGTTATCAATACTTATTTTAGCCTATTTACGTCAAATTCAAGAAACTTAAAAATCTACGATTATGACAATTGTCACTTATCTATGATACATCTTCACTAAATTTTTATTTAAACATGTTATCAATACTTATTTTAGCCTATTTACGTCAAAAAAACTTTAAAAACTAAGATTATGACAATTGTCACTTATCTATGGTACATCTTCACTAAATTTTATTTAAACATGTTATTAATACTTATTTTAACATATTGTCGTCAAAAAAATTCAATAAACCTTAAAAATAACGATTATGACAATTGTCACTTTTCATTGGTACATCTTCACTAAATTTATATTTACACATGTTATTAATACTTATTTTAACATATTTTCTTCAAAAAAATTCAAAGAACTTATAAAATAACGATTATGACAATTGTCACATTAAAATATTATCCTTAAAAAGATCATATAACAAAAAATTTTCATAAAATCCACCTCATATAATAAAAAATAGATAATTTTAAAAAAATGATAAAAAAATTATAAAAGATTTCACTTAAATGATTGTTTATTTATCTAATAAAATTTACAATATAATTCCTCAATAAAAGATTTATTTACAAAGAAGATTGTGAAAATCACTAATAAATTATATCAAAAAGAATATTACATATTTACAATAGCTGCATATTATTTTTTTTATTAAAAAAACATCAAATAAATAAATTTGTTTTCATTTCAAAATATAACAATATAAATAAAAAATATTAAATCATATCATGTTTATTTGTAGATAATATTAAATAAACCAAATAAATTATTTTACTAAAATAAATAAATAATAATTATTGCTAAATATCGATGCAGAATTTTTGACTAATTTATTTTTGCCGATTTTTAGGCTTAGCCTTATTAGGCTTAGGCGTAGTTTTTAGCCGATTACGCAACACTAAGTTAAGCTAAAGAATGTGGTGAATGAATAAAATATCGTATATTTTAATGTTAATTATGCTTCTTGAAAAATTGTTATCATGGTAGGTAGTCAGAACATGCTGAACCGTGTTATGACTAAAGATAATATAGGACTCACCGCTCTCTTTGAAACTGTCCCGGAGGAAAGTGAAAAGCCAAGAAGAAACAAAAGCAAAAAAAATAGTAATTGATAACCATTTATATAAATAATAAACGTATTATTTATTGCTTCTCTATTTTCCCATTATAAGTTAAAATTAGAAATTGAGGAATAAATAGTATTTTGGGATATAATAGGAGATAATTAGGGTTTATATTGATCTTTTTCATTTTTAACAAGGTTTATTTTTCTCTAACAAATAGGAAATTTTAAATCTCCTCATAATAGATTATACAAATTATTTACAAAAAACTATTAATCATTTTTATTTTCCTAGATGAACCCAAGGCTGAAGAGAAAGAAACAAATGCTAAAACAGAAGAGGTAGATGATTCCTCTTTACACATTTCCGATTCAAAAACACTGGGTCTTCACAATATTACTGCCACGTATTAAAACTAAGATTATATAATAATTATCTATTAATATTTTTCATCCCTTTTTTTATCACTTATATCTGATTGTTGACATTTAACTCCAATCATTTTAATCTATCCAATAATTCATTCTAAAATAATCAAATAGGAGCATTATAAAAAATTTGTCATCCATTCTGTATGATTCATTTCCAATCAATGATTTTGTATCCCCTTATTATGCACCTTAACGACATTATTAAAAAATGATATTTATATGAACTATCTCAACTTAGTAAATGTAACTAAAACTTCAACAAATTGTTAATTTGTTTAAACATAAAGTATCTTTTATAAATCACAACTAAATAGTAATTTTATTTTTTTAAAATAAATATGCCTTGGAGATTTTAGGAGGAACAGGAGCAAAAGACGAAAGGTCAAGAGGAAAAACTTTCTGGTTGTTAGCACTGCCCACATACACTGGGATCCTGAATACAGTGACGTGAAAATAATTCAGGCTATGATGATAGTCCACGAACTCAAGGCCTTCATGCGCCAATGCTATGATCAATACGTGCTGGGCGGTAAATTGCTTATAATAAATCTTTGAAAAAGTCATTTTAAAAAAAGAGGAAGCAAATATAAAATAAACATATTTGGTAACTCAATAAAATGACATTAATATTATTAATTAATACCAGGTAATATGCTTTTTGAAGGCTTTTATACTTTTTCTGGCAAATGAAAGATAATTTTTAAAAGCTAGAAAGAAAACTTTAAAAAAATAATACCTTTTTGAGAACTGCCACTAAGATTAGATATTTTCTTATCTTAGATTTCTTGTGATTAATAAGAAGTTTGAATATTGGAAAATCAACTTTAATCTATTTTAGGTAGCACCGGCAAAGATCTCTCCCGGAGTCTGTCTCTCAAAGAACCAGCCCATCATTCCTCGCTCATCACCAGCTCCAAAAATAATAGCAAGGCAATTATGATGGTAAAAAAGAAGAGAACATGCTCAGAAAATAATCATAATTCACCTACTCCCCCTTATCAAAAGCCTTGTGGGAGCAAAGGAGATAAGCACGTCTCTCAACTAACAACGGCTTTATCGGACACTGCTGCTGATATCGAGGTAGACCAAGAAAGTCGGGAGAATGATGAAGGTAAAAATAAATATCAAAAGATATTTTCAAATTTTTTTATGGGTTTTTTTTAAATTATGCCGTTGAAAATTAATAAGGCATAAATATTTATTTGAAATGATGTCTCTTTACAACATATCGATCGTAAAAAGGATAATTTAGAAACACACTTGATATATTTCACTTCACAAAAATAATCTATTTTTTTAATAAACTATTACTCCCAATTTTTTAATCATATAAGTTTTGAATGAATTTTATTTTAAAACTCGAACAGTTCAAAACAACGAAAATTCTTTTATTGAACGGAAAAATATTTTGGAAATTTAGCATATTATATTGGCTGATTAGATATATTCGATTCTGATTTGTCTAATGCCTAATGTTGAAAAATAATCCAATGGCCCTTTTTGTGTCAAGACTTACCCCCCCCCCCCCCTCCTAGTTATTATTCTTTAGTTATTATAATATTTGTTTTTTCGATATTTAAATAAATTTGTAAAAAACAACCAAAAGAAGGAAGAAGAAACACTACGATATTTGATCATTATAGGCGTTTCTACGAACGTCGTGTGCGGAAGAGAAAACAACGAAGGAGTAATTTACTATCTTCATCCCCTTCCCTACTTTCCAGAACCCACCAAGAGACGACTCGGTTTAATAACAAGTTCTCTAAAGATTGGGTAATACTTCCTTTTAATTCTTATTTAGGACTAAAATCTGTTTTCACTTCTATCAAAAATTGATGACTTAAGCGCGTTATTTTTTAATAACATTTTCTTTTTTATTTAAAAAATTAAATGGCAAAATAAAAGCCTTTAGTGGATCTACTCCCTCTAGTGCTTTGCGGGGATCTCAATTCCCTTCCTGATTCTGGCGTTTTGGAATTTTTACTAACTGGCCGTCTGGATGCTGACCACCGAGAATTCAAAGATCTAGGTTAATTTTAATTAAATTCTAAGGACATATAATTATTTTAAAGTTTATGAGTGTTTTTTAAACTTAATAAAGGCACCAATTAAATTTGAAAAGACTAATATGAAGGCAGACGCATTAATGAAATATAAGAGGATATTAATCAGATATGAAAAGACAAACCGTGGCTAACTAACAATTTTAATTATTATTGATTTAAAAATATAATTAAATTTTAAAAATACATACTATATTTAGGTTGTAAAATAAAAAATATTTAAACCCATCGTTGCCACCCATTTATTTTAGGTTACCGGGCATGCCTAGCCAAACTCACTAACGCTGAGGACGAAAATTCGAACGTGAATAACAATTCTACTCTAGAGGCAGATGCATCTATCGACATAAAAACAGATGATACCAATAATTTCGAAAGGGGTGGCTCTCGATTCAAAGGAGATGATAAGACAGGTAGGTATCTAAGTTTTTACGAGAAGTATTTTAAAATATCCTTTTATAAGTCCAACTTTTTGGTTAAATTTTTAGCTATTATCAGAGTTGTTAATGCTCCTTTTTAAAAGTAGCTAGCTCCCGCTCCCTACCTGCTCAAAAGAAGCTAGCTCCCACTACTAAATTTTAAAAAGCAGCTAGCTCCCGCTCCAAGTACTGGGTGCCACTCCATAGCCGCTCCTTTGATTTCCATTTTTTTAGAAAGTACATGAAACAATATCATAATTTTTTTTATCAAAAAGTTTTATTTATATTAAATGATATATCAAAAATTTATAATCCTTTATTAGCTTTTAAAAGTAATAAATTTTATAAATTTGAATCTAACAAACATCCACTCCTCTCCCCTAAAACCTGTTTAGTAATACTAAGCGCGCTCAACAGGCGCACTAGATGGAAGCGTGGTATTGTATTTTATAAAAATATTTTTAATTCAGGAAATTTATCAAAAATAGTAATTTTGATATCATTATTTAAAAAATCTTCAATATATTATCTTCCTGATGATCAATTTCATGGAATCCAAAAAAATCTTTTAAATTATTGCAGGGTTCCCGTGAATTAGTAGCTATTTTTGCATCAGTAATTTGTTTTCCTAAAAAATTAATTAATTTGTATTTTAGTTCCATGTTTTGTGCATTTTTTATCCATTCCTAATTTGAATGCAACGGATAATATCCGCAATGATATTTTCATCATTATAAACATTTGAAAATCTGCAATATTATTTAAATAGATAATTTATTTTTTTCGATTTCTTCTTCTATATGTTTGGATCCATAATATTAAAAACTATTTTTTATCATATATCTACTAAGACTTGCAAGATTTTCTAGGAAATTTTCAATATAAAAAGAAAGACTTGATGTTTAATATTATAACTGTTTAGATGAAAACCAATATAATAATATTGCCTAAATTTAAATAAAATTAAATTTGAAAGAGCTGTGAAGCGGCGCTCCTCCACTCCAGCCATAAAAGGAGCTAGCACCTTTTCCTGCTCCTGATTTTTAAAAGGAGGGACGCTCCAGGTGTTTTTTAAAAAGTTTAGAGGCGCTACAGGAGCGCCTCTCCTTAACAACTCTGGCTATTATTAACTTTTTTTATATATTCAAGATTTATGCTTATTAAATAATTTGATACTAAAATAAAATCTTACATTTATGTAAATCATATGAATAGAATTGCTGATAATATTATTCCAATGCCAAAGATTTATTAAGAATTTTATAATGGGTATCACGGTCGATTAATATAGACTTATATATTTCCCTTATTGAAAAAACCCTTTCTTATAAAAGAATAAAACATGCGCGCTCTATAAAGATAAGGAAGATTTACTACCTAAAAAACCCTAACAGATTTTTCATAAATTATAATGTAATTTAATTATTTTAACGAATTATTAGTTAAAAACATCATTTTTATAAAATTTCGTATAGTGCGCACAAATTGAACATTGCAACGCAGCGTTTCAAAACGTAACCATGTTTAAATTGATGCGTTAAGTTTTATTATTTCAATGTGAAACATTTAAATTTAAAACATTAAACAAAAAATCACTACAAGACCTTTCTTATCTAGCAGGGTGAATAATTTTAATACAATGGAATCAAAAATTCTTAGAGACAAATTTAAATTGGACACTATTCTAATAGCACATTGAACTATTTAAAAGCTTTTAAGGAATGAGCCTCAAACTTAAAATAATATTAATTAAATTCTCTTACAACATGTTACAATTGAAATTTTCATAGAATTTAAGACATATAATTGAATTATTTTATTGTGTAAAAACTATATCTAAATAAGATTTATCTGTTGCTTCTATAAATACATTTTCAATATCAGCCATAGTAATTAAATGATATAATTAAATTAATTGAATATTAAGAAAAATTTAATTGATATAATCCTTAATTTTTATTAAATGTTAATTTGGACACTATTTTAGGTGTATCCCATTGAGCTATTAAGCTTGAGGAATGAACCTCAAACTTAAAATAATATTAATTTTATTCTCTTACAACATGATGAAATTTTCATAGAATTTAAGACATAGACATATAATTTAATTATTTTATAGTCTAAAAACTATACCAAAATAAGATTTATCTGTTGCTTCTATAAATACATTTTCAATATCAGCCATATTAATTAAATGATATAATTTAATTTATATATTTTTTGTATTTATGTTCATGAATTCCTCCTGATGAGCCTGAAGGTTTTCCTATTTTCTCCTTATTCAGCTGATCCTTGAAGTTTCTCAATCTAAGAGGACTGGTATAAAAACCAGGGAATTCCAAAGCTAAGCTAATTATATTATTATATTAATATGCTTATATATTTTTACCTGGAACCAATAACTGATAAATGTTCCATAACTATGAAACTTTTTTTATGGTCGGGATGTTCTTGATTCCAAATTATTTCATCAGGTTCCAGCATTTCTGCAAACCTTTGGGTAATTTCATCGTTCCATGTCCTGAAAATATTATTATGTCATTTTATAATAATTATTCTTACAATTTAGAAGATGTAATATTATCCATTTTATCACTTTAAAATTTAAAAATTTAAAAAAACACAAGCAAGTTTGCCTTTTAAAAAATAATTTAAAACGGAAAACGGAAATGTGCTCAATTTGAACGAATTCATTGTTTGCGTTTTGATACTGAATGGTTATAGTACCATATATGGTACAGCTGAAAACCCATTAAGATTTTGATGGATATTATCAGTCCTTTATAAGGTCATTAGTGGAAAATCATTTTTTTTATATATAGGAAATTGGAGCCACTATTTATGGGTTTACTTTGTTTGATCAGCAGGGGCGGACTGGCGACGCTACGGCCTCGTGGGCATTTTTATAGAGGCCTCGTACCCCCATTTTGCTCGCTTTCGCCCGGTCTTTGACCGGGTTCTCTTAAATGGCTTTTTCGCTTTACATGATTTTTATTACTTCTTATTTTTGAAAATAAGTTCAAATGTACATTTTTAGTAAAAAAAAAAGAATATTATTATACGATAATAATATATTTTATTTTTAAAAAAGCGCATCTAAAATCATATTCATTACCATTATAAAATAATATTCATTGCACATATATATTTTATATTATTTACAACGATATTGCACTATAAAATCAAATCATACATCACATGTTAAATATAAAAAAATACATACTCAATATCAAATAAATTAATTAAACATATAAAGTTATTGCAGTTGTAGAAAATTGCTGCACTTATAAAATCAGGCACCGATCATATTGTAAATAGATATTAATAAGATTCAAATAAAAGAATTAAGAAAATATTAATTTTTACGTTAATAAATCTCTCATTAACTTTGAACCTTTGCGTAAATATACAAGAATATCTTTTCTCTGCGCTAATAGTTCTCGTTTAACTGACATCATTAAAAACGCTTCTAATTTTTCTTGATCAATATTAGCTCTCAGCTTATTTTTATAATTTTTAATTTACTAAATGTTTTCTTGCAACTAACCTGCATAAATGACAAAGTTAAAATGTATTCATATGCCGTGTCACTTTTATGCATATTGTATCTTAAGAATTTCATACACGCATATTAAACACTTGTTATATTTATTATCACTGAGTTATTATCATATTGTAATATTCCATCTTCTTCATTTGACTCCTCACTTGTACATACGCTGCTACCAAATCTTTGAATACACTGGAAAATGAACATAATTCGTTACGTAATTTAACACTCAATATATATGCCAATTGTGCCAGTTTTTCCAAGGCCTTTTCAGAACCTTTACTATTTATTTCATCAAATTGTCTTGGATGCAAATACTGCACATTCAAAATAAGCTCTCAATTCGCAGAAAGCCGTTCCGACAAACTGTTTATAATTTGATCAATTTAGGACGAAATACTTCGAACCTATAAAGGTCAATCAATTCTTGAGGACGTTCATCTTGGCATTTATCACTATATATTCTCTTCGCTCGTCCTATTCAATTTTTTGGCTGAGCATTCTGTAACCTGATACTCTCCGGGAGCTTTAAATATAAAAGTGTTTCATTTAAATTAGAAGCCATTTTATTGCTTTATTTTGAATCGATGTAATAATCGAGGATACCGAAGACTTAGCATCTTCTATCATTTTCCATGCTGACAATTTTTTAGTTTGAAGATATGATAGTGGCCCCATTATTTCAAAAATTTCCAAATATATTATAGCTGTAGAGTCTTAAATTTTTATAAATTATCAAGTTTTTGTCTCAAATGATTTATTATCTATTAGAAATTGAAGTGCATTTATCGTTATTGGGAGCAAGCTCTCTTTACCATATATCGATCTAAGGGTTTTTTCACGTGCCCACCATCTTTACCTATTTTTTGCAGCCTTCTCAACTATTTTGACCAGTTGAATTCTTCTGTTTCACTCAAGCATCCATCCTTTTATCTGATTCACCGACCTGGATTTTATTTGATTTCAATGAATTAAGAACGAGAAATGTTGGCTATATTATTTCTACAATAAATCAATGTATAAAAATATAATATAATACTTAGCTTTCACTCTACTCAAAGTGAAGCGTTTTCACTTCATTTGAAAAAAAAACAAAAGAACGTGTTAATGATGTATAGCGTCAAGTGACGTTATTGATATTTTATGCATTAAAATATAGTAAACAACATGACAATTCTCAAGGAATGTGTTATTCAAATCATAGAGATATCATTAAAAATAAATAAATGATATGAGAAAATAATGTGAACATAATAATATTTATTTTTTTCTAATCGGCCTCTTTTATGATATTTTTCTCTGATCGGCCTCAAAAATCGACATTTTCTCGCGGCCTCGTGGTCAAAATGCCCACCTGGTCTTATGGCCAGTCCGCCCCTGTTGATCAGGAAGATAGGGTGCTATATTAATTAAGTGGCATATTTAATAACCATGTAGTTATTACATATTTCGTTTCAAGGTCAAACTTAAATTTGACTCTGAATATTGTACTTTTCAATTATTAGAACATTACCACCATATTATTTTCTTTTGCTAGCCCCCCAATAATTTTTCCAGTTTTTTTATCTTATTTTCCTTTTGCGAGATTGCCTGATCATATATATATAGTTCTCGACTCTGCGTTAGCAATCGGCATAGCTCCAACCTTTTAAGATTTTTACACTGATTTTCTGGTAAAAGGTGTTATAAGTTTGATTTTTTTTATGAAGTTCTGGGCCAGTTCTTAAAATAATTTACTCAAATTAAGGGATCTTTCAGATCAAAATTTGGTTCAACTGACTTGTAAGACCTATTAATTGGCCTGAACAAGGCTTTTTGACTAAACTAATACATACCATTGATTTTACTCATCTAATATAGATAAAGTGTTGGATGATGATATCAATTACGTTGCAAACGCAGCGGTCGGCAAAAGTTGTCAATATTCTCACTCTTTCAAGCTGGCCAGTGCTTACACCCCGTCCATTATGCCTTACACCAATTTTACCTACGATTTTTGCGGCGTGCTCGATTACGTGCTCCACTCTCGCAATTTTTTAACTCCGCTGGCTGTCTTGGGACCTCTAGACCAGGGCTGGATCAACAGGAATAAAATCGTTGGAGCCCCTCACCCTTTTATACCTTCTGACCACTTTCCCATAGTTGTTAAATATGATTTCAAGCCTCTTGGATAATATAGATTTTGAATATTACATTATATTGTTTTTATGAATTATTTCCCTTTGTATATTTTTTTGATTTTATATGTTGATTTATTCACAAATTTTATTTTATAAACTTCCAGATGTTTCTTTTATAAAATCGGAAATTCGATTGGTTACTCCTATTTTCCAATGTTAAATTACATTGTTTGAAATTGATATCCTCCTATAACAATAATTTTTTGGGTCGTTTCTCTCTTTAAATTTTATATGCACATAATTATTCCGCTTTGGGACATTTTAGAAGACTTTTGGCTCATTCTCTCCTAGAATAATATTGCATTTTACAAGTTTTAAAATAAAAATTAGTGCCAAATTTTGCTTGCTATTTGATTTTAATTGTGCAAGAAATTATATTTTCTAAGTTAATTAAGTCATTTAAGATATTCTATCAGTTATTAATATATCTCTGCATAAACACCTGGATCAACTTTTACACAATCGGTGAGGATTTGATAAAAACCATACTAATTTAATTTTAATCTTGAATATAAGGATCGAAATATTTTTTTACTTTGTTTCTTTTAAAGGCTAAAACTTTCTATTGTAGTATATAGATATTTCTTCCTTTTTTTAAATATTGTTTTTTATTTCGTATTTTAAATATTATTATATATTTATTTCATTAGTTATCATTATAGTTGTAAAAAACAAAGTATATTTCGATTATGACCATATATAAATGAAGAAAGGAAAATAAAAAGTCTCAATGTGTTATTTTTTTAACTTTGAGCCCAAATCATTTATTTAGTTTATTAAATTTGAGAAATATATTCCAGCATGCATGTAACACTACCCTGTGAATTTCCTAATATTTTGCAATTACCGAAATTCGCATGATATTCTACACATATTGGAATGCATTTCAGGCAAAATGATATTCAAATTTAAAAAAGATGCTCATTAAATATTTTTAAGTTGATAAAGTAACACAATTTTATTTTTTAAAAAATTAATTTATTTAAAATTTACGAAATCGAGTTTGGACGCATAATGTATAAATGCGAGAATCATTTTTTTTAAAAAAATTTTTTGACCTTGATGCACCCAATGAAGCCAACATATATATAAGATTGATAAGACGACATATTTAATACTAAATAGGAGTGCTCTTGATCACCACTACTAGATTACAAGGGCTAATGGGAAAAAGGTATATATCTTTCAAGTTATAAGATTTGTTATTTTTTTAAATCATTTTATTTTACGAAACTGTCTAATTTTCATTAAATATATATTTTATAAACACGGATGATCTTATAATGTTTTTTTATAATAGATTGTAAAAAGAGACCTCACCTTATTTATATAAAAAGTTGAGTTTATGATAGGTACTTCAAATTTGTATTTTGCTTATTTTCCATTTGGATAAACAGTGCCTAGTTTATTTATAATATATATGAAAGATCGTGATTTTCAGAAAGCATCTGGCCTAGTCTACAAGAGCTTTATTTGCCTATCCGATGGTTCTCGCTTCAAATCCCCAAGGATCATGTTTTTTCTTACGCTAACTAGGTGATTCCGACCTTAGAGGGATTATATGTAGTAAATTGAACTCTACCACATGATTCCGTTAATATATATTAAATTAGTGAATCATATTTTAATAAATTTTGGGCGGTATTTAATTTAAATTAGGTTGATATTTAGAAAATTGCTATATATTAACTTGTCAATATATATCATTAACAAAAAATAAGAGATATGTAAATCTTCATTAAAATAACATCTAAGAAAAATAAATTAAGTGAACAATTTAAAGACAAATAAGAATAAAAAAATATGGGAGGCTTTCAATTTTTTTTATAAATAGTGAATTAGATTTGCCCCTATTTTTTGTGTTTTCTATTTTTAAAATTCCCAATACGATTATTAACGCTTATATATAAACGAAATTAAACCAACCAAATTGATGTTAATACATCAGAGTATTCACGGTTTTTTTATGTTAGGTAAGTCAGCCCCGTGCGACACTTTTGGCCATAATAAACAAAATTTACCTATTTGATTAATTTTCTCAATGAGAACTAAAAACATATACACTTTATTAATCATTATAAATGAGTAACGCACATTAAAAAATTAATTTAATCATAAATTAAAATATTGCAATTTTATTTATCCTCCTTTCCTTTTTATTTTCAAAAGAGGATACTATATCAGTATAAGCTAACGATGAGGTGAAATCATTTTTTATTGAAATTAAAGAGAGATTAACAAGTCAGTCTTGTATTATACAGGATCCTGAGTAAGTTTTATGCCCAAGGTAATTGGAATGGTTAAAATAATCCTTAATACAATGGATATATTTGGTAAGATGGAGTTTTTATGGGATGCTTACTTAATATATTCACTAAAATTTTTAATACAATTAGTAGATCTTGCGAATTAATATCCCTTTCTAACGTATCCTGATCTGTTAATAAATTGTGAAAACATTTTTCCTTTAGCTCGCTTTCAGGCTCATTTATTAATTCTGGTATATTGAATAAGAATTCAAAATGATCTTTAAAGAGCTTTAATTGCTGAAAACGTTCCTCTAATGAATATCTCGCTTGATCTAATGATACATTGAAAAATTCAATTTCATATTTTTTTTTGAGGACCATGTGTGAGCGTGTCATCTTCGTAAGAAAATTATTTTTGAACCTTCCGTCTACGAATTGATGTTATTGAAGGAAAACACTCCTTCTCTATATTTATTTCCAATTAGTGTGCAAGCTCTTTCGCTGAGTTAAGGGAATTCTGAAAGCCGTTTTCCTTAAAGCAATCTAAAATATCTTGCGTACTTTCTAAAAGTGTAATGACTCTTTCCTATTAAATAATGTCAATTTACATGACCTTATTTACTTAATTAATGTATCTAACCAGATGACAAGGGTTACCAAAAATGGAAATTAATGAAATGGCTTCTGTCCAGAATTTAGGGTCATTAGTCTTTCGGATACATCTATTAGCGCATGGTAAATATTTTACTCAGAGACCTGCAGAGATACCATTTGCACGGCCCTGCCCGGATTTTTTTTCAAAAATTTTTTAACCCGGCTCGGCCCGGATATTTTTTTAAAAAAATTTTTTGGGTCGGATTTTTTTAAATTTTAGGACCGGCTCGGAATTTTTTAAAATTATATTCTACCTGGTATATCCAAAATTCACCTATTCGGTATTTTATCATATTTTTCGGCGAGCATTATCATTTAATACGCAAGCAGATTAGCGAATGTTGTTAAACGGCTAACTCAATATTTTCGCCAGAAAAATATTGATTAAGACTCGAAATTTCGATACTATATGTCTAGACCTTTGCTCCTTCTATGAACAAAATTTTCAGGCTTGCGTAATATTTTTCTGGATAAGATACTGTTAGCCGTTTTTAAAAATCGGCTCAAAACGAGCCGTTTAACAACTCTACATATTATATATTTTATTTTTTTTTATTCTAAACAGATATTTAGTATATTACAAATTGATACTATAAGAAATTTGTGTAAATTATATTTTGAGAATATACTATATTAATTGTATTTATAAAAAAAATAAAACTGATATTTTAATTAATAAAAAATATAACATTTATTATATAATAATTAGTGATGTTAAGGTAACTAGTTACCATTTTGGCTAAAAAATAACTGTAACTAGTTAATTTTTAAAATTGTAACTAGTAACTGTAACTAGTTATAATTTTTGAAATGTAACTGCCAAAAGTAACTAGTTACTTTTAAAGATATATTCAAATAATTAATTTTATTTTAATATGTTGTGATAAATTAATTTTAAATTAAATTTATTTTTTAAATTAAATTTATTAATTTAAAATTTTGTGAAAATGTCTGATTATTATAATTTCCCGTTCAAATTGATTTTCTTTTCTTAAATTTGTTACATTGCTGCTGGGCTTCATAATTTTGTAAGCAAATTTAAGTAATTTAATAAATTTTAATATTATATTTATTTACAAATGTAGCACAATATATTTTTTTCCGTCAAGTAACAAGCATTGAAACTTCATATCATACGTAATAAAAAAAATTTTAAATTTAGTATAAGGAAAAACAGACAGATTATTTTAGAATTTAATATTAAATTATTAATCATTACTTACAAGAACCAAGTCTAACAAAAGCATAAGCACATTACTCAAATTTTAAAAAATGATTGCTTTCTGAAATTTATTTTTTGGTCTAGCCTGAATATTTATTTATAATCAAAGTATATATAAATTAGACACATTTTAGAACTGTATGTTTCACTCATTAATTGATTATTCTATTCCTAATTTAGATAGTGTTATTTATATTTATCTCCTAGATAGAAACAAAATACAATATGAATTCTGAGTCAGATGATGAAGAAATTATACCTTCTCCTACAATAATTGCAAAAAAAAGGACCTTCCTTGGCCAAGTTTTGAAAAATATTTTGAATTCCACAAAGAGAAGGCTGGTAGTAATACTAATATTATTGTCAAATGTCTCTTTTGCCTACCATATAAAAAGTATATTGCAGCATCTAAGTTATCCACAGCTAATTTATGGAAACATATCTCTGTAAGTTTACATAAATTGTATTAATATTATATAGAATAATTAAATGAATTAACTTTATAAGAATAATTAATATTAATTAAATATTTATATATATAAAACATATATCTATAGAGAAAGCATCCTAACCAATCCGTAAATATAAAACAAACCATAGATAATAAGAAAATTAATTCAGCCACATCAAGTAAGTTAAAACAAACTAAACTTGACTTTGGTGGAAATTCAAATTTTAAAGGTATCAGCAAAGATAAATTTAATTCACAAATTATTAAATATATAATAAATGGAAATCACCCATATACAACTTGTGATGATGAAGATTTTATTGAGCTGATAAACACCCTGCAACCTAATATGAAGAGTATATGCAGACAAACATTAACCTTAAGAATATCAAAATATTTTGTTCAAATGAAGGATGTTCTAATAGAAAAATTGTTAGAGCCTAATTATGTTTGCACAACAGCTGACTGCTGAACAGCATTTAATCGGTAAATATTATTTTTTACTAAAGTGCACAATACATTTGGTTATCTTTTGTTATATTAATAATAGCTCCTATATTGGTATAACAGTACATTGGATTGATGTGGAGAAATTGGAAAGGCGTTCAGCTATTCTAGCCTGCCAAAGACTACAAGGTAGGTATACATATGATGTGATCAGCAAAGCCTTAACTGCTATTTTTAAGGAGTTTCATATCCAAAATAAAAATATCTGCACAATAACGGATAATGCAAGCAACTTTTCAAAGGCGTTTAGGTATGCCTAACTAATTTACTTTATAAATTATTTCTCTTAGAGTATTTAGCTGCCCATCTTTTATAATGGGCAAAGATTCTGTTTCTGATATTGAATATATCTCAATAGAAGATATAATGTCTTCTTCTGGGCTCTCCAGTTATGATATTAATGACTTCGACTACCTTCCAAGGCATCGAAGATGTTCTTGCCATACATTAAACTTAGTGGCAGCACAAGTTGCCAACAAGTTACTTTTAAACAACGAGGGGTATAGGAAAGTTTATAACTTAGCTATATCTAAATGCCAACGTTTGTGGAACCTCCAAAATAAATATGGGCCATCCGCCGAACTTATTAAAAAAAATTACATTCTCAACTCCCATATCCCGTTATAACAAGATGGGGTTCCTTTTATAAATCCCTGGCCAAAATATTATCGTTTTTAAATCAAGTGCCTGTGGAATTTGATTCATTACGTGATGAATTAAAATTGTGTAGATTCACATCAGATGATCGTGATTTTATAAAAGAATATTGTAGTGTAAATTTAAATTAATGTCTTATAAAAATTTACAATTTAAAAATTAGATTATGCAACCAGTGTCCAAAGGTATTGATATTCATGAAGGGAAAAATACATGCATCTGGGTTATTATAACCCAACAATAACACAAATACTATGGCAGATGTGCAGGGATTAAAATATTGTCAACCTCTAAAGGATACTATATTAGCTAGTATTGAAAAAAGGTAACTTAAATCAAATAATTATTTATAAATTAATAATATCATGTTATAGGTTTAATAATCTTTATGATAATGACAACATCATTGCTGCAATTCTTCACCCTCTTTTTAAAACTGACTGGCCTTGGATTAGGCAAGAAAGGAATAAAGCAAAAAAGGAGGAAATTTTAAATTTAATAAATACCTTAATACCTCAAAGTGAATCCCAGACGAATGAATCATGCTCAAAACCAACATCACTTGATGATTTTTTGACCTAAAGCGCCAAAATATTCTGGATAATGAACTTATAGAAAACTTTATCAAATCTAATAACAACACTTTTTCTTTATATAACGATTTTCCAAAGTTAAAATTACTCTTTATTAAATATAATGTTGTTCTAACATCAAGTGCTCCCGTAGAGCGCTTGTTCAGTTTAGGTAAGCTCATTTTTGGAGATAAACGAGCACGTCTCCTAGATAATAACTTTGAAATTAATTTGTTGTTAAAAGCAAATAAACATTTATTAGATTCTAATTTTTATGAAAAATAAATGTTTTTTTTTCAATGCAAATATATATTTTTATATTCGATGTAAATATTCAATTTTGCGATATTTTTTTATATAAATAAATTGTATATTATTTTAAATAACTGATTATACTTTGTTTATCCTAATTTTTTTGATATTAAATAAATGCTTTCAATAAATAAATAATGCGCATATGAATGATGTATAAAGTAAGTAACTAGTTACTTTTGAAAATAACTGTAACTAATAACTAGTTACTTTTGTAAAAATGTAACTAGTAACTGTAACTAGTTATGTTTTTGCCAATGTAACTAGTAACTGTAACTAGTTATGTTTTAAAAGTAACTTTTAACATCACTAATAATAATGTATTTATTATCTTATATCCTATGCATAATTCTAATTATATTATGTAATAGATACTATGAGTGTTAGCTAGTGTTAACTTTCACCCAACATTATATTAATCATAACTATATATAATCAATATAACCATATCTAATTGACGAATATAATAATTCATGTTGTATAAATTTTTTTTTTTAAATTTTCAGGCCCGGCCAGGGTATTTTTAAAAATTTAAAATACGGTCCGGACCGGGCCTGCAGATCTCTGATTTAACTTATCAACACTCTAAATCAAAATGTTTTTAATAACTATTCTAAATTTAATTCTATTAACTCTCTCTTATATTACTTATAATATTTTTTGTTGTACAATTTTTATATTTTCAAGACCTTTTTTTCTTAAAATTTTTCAACTTTATTTTTATTTAAAATCACAAAAAAATTAATTATTTTTTATAAAAAAAATGTAAAAAAAAAATATAATATTGTTTTTTTTATCAATGCAAGGTCAAATAAATATAAAATAATAAACTAAGAATGACAGCAAATATCAACCTGATTTCTAATGTCCTTTATGCTCTCCACTTTACATTTCCATAGCGTTTCAGGTAACGGGTTTAACGTAAAATTATTCATATGATCCTTCAAAATAAAATTTTGTAATTTGTGTAATATTTGAGAGGAAAATGACAAATGAGAATATGATCTCATGGAAAATATGGGACAATACAGATTTCTGCAGTGTAATAGCGACTTATAGTTTAGAGATGCTCTATTAAGAAAGATAAAATGGGGAAAAAACCAATATAATCTTAATTAAAGTGTTGTTAAACGCTATTTCAAAAGTAGCTCGCTATCGCTAACGTTACTTTTTTTAAATAACCCGCGATTGGCTACTTTCTACTTAAGAATTTTTTTTTTAATTTTTACGAATATCTATTCTATTTTAACAAATAAAAAATGTTTGTAAAAAAATTATTTATTGCATTCCAAAAATTTGAAATTATTATCAAGGGTTGTCAGAATACTTAGATTTTCCTATTTGTTGTTTGTAAATTCCTATTTTTTTTCTAGAAATGATTATTTTATTAAATTTATTTGTTTCATCTTGAAATGATGCAATTTTATCATGGTCATAACAATTTATATGAATTTGTCTTACAATCGAGCAGCCATTAAATATATTGATAACTCGAATATTCAAAATTATAACTAATTTATGTATTGTTGATTAAAAACATTACTACAATTAAATTTTCGGATGAAATTTTTAACCGCGTTGTTTAAGGTCGTCCCTATATTAATACCTTAACCTAAATAAGGACTCTTTTTTAAAATTTATTTTAATATTGATTTGTTGGGGAGGGGGTGGGGGATTATAAGATTTAACACAAGTTAAACTCTTTCGAGAACACCATAGAAGTCCTGATCATTCAATATCATGAGGATACATAATTTCCTATCCTGTTTGTGAATCTTCTGAGTTTTGCATAGCATTTCATATACACTATTTCTATAGCATACTACTTTCTTCCTGCATTATCAATTATATGACAAAGACAACCATAAAATTCGGTCTACCTATTCCCGAAATTTTTACTCGCGTTATCCGCACAAAAGATTGTTAAATTAGTCAGATGTTAGATTTTTCAAAGCTATGCATGCAATATTTTTCGATTTTTCCAAGTCCAAACAAATATTTTTTTTAAAAAACCTTAATTTATCTAAATAGGGCAATATTATAGGGAATGTTTTAGTATTTGCATTTTTTGAAGCCCCTGTTGATAAAAAAAAGGATGGCCTTCCTTCAAATCCTCTAAGATGTGTTTCTAAGTTTCAGGGCTTAGGGTATTTAACATGATTTTTGAGGCTGTTCATCCAAAATTTATGTTTTTGGCTATTTTTGAAATCATGAAAGAGAAAAGGCAATAAGTTTGTAATGTAATCTGTAAATATATATCTAAGAATCTAGATGTTATGATAATGCCTTATTTTAATGTGGACATATGTTTTTGCCTTGTTGAATAACTGATATATTTTGTATTGCATATAATATAAATTTCATTTGAAAATATTTTCAATATAATCCTGAACAAATGGAATTCTAGGTATAGTATTGCGATTTAAATCTTTTGTTGTTAATTAATGTTACACTTTATTTAAATCTCTATATAATTGAAATGTAATTTAAAATAATAGGAATAAATGAAAAGAAATGAAATATTCAACTAAGAAAAATTTTTTCAACATAAATTTTCTTTGAAAATAGTAAAAAATTGGAGAAGCAGCTAATTTTGGCGTAATCATGAGTAGAAAATCGGAAGAAATTGATGAATCCCACCTCATAATTATTGGGGTAAGATTGATAAAGTTTAGGTGACACATTAAATTTTTTAAATTCAATTTTGAAAATCGATTATATGTAATCGTAAAACATTTCAATTATTCTAATATTTACAAAAAAAACATTATATAAAACGAATATTCACATAATATAATATATTTATATTTGCAAAATTTTCCTATTTATGTTTTATCCAATAATAGGTTTCGAGTACTACATCCCTCGAGACTCCGTTTGTTTTTTGTCGTTTGTCTTTTGCTTTTCCAATCCTTTCCCCTGGAGGACATCATCTTGTTTTTCGTTCATCATTTTATCCATAATTTTTGGTGAGGCAAAATTATCATTATCATAACTCTGGTTTATTTTGAAATTGTCATAATAATTGTCTTGAGTAAAATCTACTGCCCAGAAAAATCTCACCATTAAGATTCCAGTGCAAATTATCCAAAATAGGCAAGTTATCCAGCTAGCAACCTATAAGATAAATTGATATTTTAGGTAGTGGAAGTCAACCAGTCCTGATTCAACCCTCTCCAAAAATCGGGATTTTTTTTCAAAAGAAATGTAATCTTCATTTAGATCTAATATAGAAACCAAGAATCTAGTTAATTTATTTACCAAAATGATAGACCAATTTTGACTGATAATATAACAGATTCCATTTTCTTTCTAAATCGATCTTATGCAATCGATCTTTTAAAAAAAATTAGTGGCTCAGGGGCGGTCTGAACCATTACCTTTATTAATTTTATAAAAAAAAGTGAATATTTAGAAAGAACGCAATAAATATTCATGATAATTTCAAAAACAAATCTATTGATAAATTATAAAAAAAAACAATATTTAAAAACAGAATAACTATCTTTCCCAATTAATACCTTTTTTATTTACCTCAGAAATTCGGAGAAAAGTGTAAAATTTTCCAGTTCTTTTCATGTTTATCAAATGTTTCTCATTGTTAATCCACACGTAATTCTGAACTTCCTCGCATCTTTTTTATAAAAAGAATTAATTGTCAAAAACAAAGCAAAATTTTCCATAATATTATTATATTTCTCAATTCAGATATATTTATATATTATTATAATCAGAATCAAAATTCAGGAATAAAATCCCCTCCTCCCATACTAAAAGCCAAATTTAAGTTTACATGGTATTTTAACATTTGAAAAATATTTTTGCTGAATATGATATTACACCCAACATTAGCAAAATCAGATAACTTAGGAGTAGAATCCGTTATACTAAAACTTCATATATGCCAAGTCTGATCTGGCTAAGGTTATTATCTGATTGATTGCACCAAAAGGAAAGCTAGGAAGGCTTGGTATGGGCCATTAATCTATATAGGATGGCTTTGATTAGATTAATATTTAAAAATTTGATCTAAGCAAAATTCCCTGCGATAAAATTAATCTGATAACTTTAAGAGCAATAAGTTATGTTTTTTATTGAAATTCGGTATGGGCTAGGCTAGTATCAGTTTTATTTTATCAAAACTGAGTACAAAGGCTAAAGTTCAATGCTGGCTATCTTGAACCCCAAAAGTTCTAATTCATTATTTATTTATATGTGTAATATTTTAATTTAAGATCTCAAATATCCATGATGAGACAAGATAGCTTGAAATTAATTAGCATGAAATGGAAGTCCACAAAAGCTAACTGCCTTTTTGAATATAAACGGGAAATAGATGGCTATCAGTAATTATATAAGGCACTTATTTCGATATTTTGTAAATTTTCCTTGTCAAAATGATAGATTACGGATTTATAATATAAATTCGACTTTTTTGTAAAAAGGGGAGACCGTAGAGCATGCGAGCCTTAAAGGGCAAACGTCAATTGAATTAAAACTAATTGATAATATTGAATAGATAATATATCATTTTATTTCACAACATTTTTTCCAAAAAAAATATTTGGAAAAGATGAGCTATACACCGAGAAGGATGAACTTTCTCGTGAGGCGCGTTTGAGCTGCTAGATTATTTTTAAATATACAAATAATATATATTATTGCAACTACTACTATATTGATAAAAATAAAGCATAATGGAAAATAATTGTTAAAAATTAGTGAAATTTATTGACAATAACGAATAAAAAATAGATTTGCCATAGGCCCAAAAAGGAGCATTTACATGTGACAATATTATATAATTGTATAATATAGCTTCTTTCACTTACTTGAACATTGCCTTGATTTAAACAATGTAAAATCTCAATATCATTAAACTTGATTTATACCTTTTTACTGTTGCATAATATATGTTTGTTTTCTCCATAATGGCTATCAAGGACGCATTTTCATTAAATTTATTAATGATATATCATCATTAGTTGTTTCTTCTTTCTAATATGATATTTAACCATATTGAAATTTATAATCAAAAATAAATTTTAAAAATAACGGTCAAATAGCTCATATGAACCTCTGAAAAGTAGCCCCAAACCTCTTTAAAATTTAATTTTAGGTAGTTTATACATATTTTTTGTTCAAATAAAGAATAACTCTATATAGAATAGGGTATAATCTTTTATATAAGATAGTTATTGGATAATTTAAACCTTTGTTTTTTTATTTTTGATAAATTGCAGCATTTAAAATAAGTTACTTTGATGGTATAAATCATATATTGTGTTATAAAAATTTTACATGTATTCGATAATAAAAAATATTATAGCCGCATATGTATAATGTAGTTATATATATTTGATTAAAAAATTAACCAATAGAGATGCTTAATCTAGATGAAAACCCTAAAGTTCGCAAGAACCTCGGGCTCATAAAATTCCCGGTCTCCCCTATTCATGTTTCAAATTTTTATTAAGCAACCCTATAATCACAAAGAATATATCCAAGCAAAACTCTTTCTTAATAAATAATATTATTGGTAGATATAAGAGCCGAGATACCTGAATTCTTTTGTATAATTTTGAGGTTTATTATCCATAAGGATATGATAAATGAATCTACTCTGGTGGTTATTTTGACTTAGAAATACTAATACTTAACACATTGGTTGGTGTTTTAATCATAAGGAAATTTTGTTGCAAGGTTTTTACAATTGGATGCCCTTCCTGACATAAACCTCTTTAAGTGGTTTTTACACCCCGTCGAGGAGACGGTGATCCTATTCAAGACTCAGATCACAGAGAACTTTTTAGACCTTCATTAGCAGCCAAAGACGTTACCACTCCCCTGCCACGATGAGGATGAAGTTAGAATTTTTGTATCTTACAAATATTGATGCTTAGGACATTCAAAAATGGAAAAGAAAATCAGAGGGAAAACTAGCTTACCTGTGTACACTTGGAAATCGCCATAAAACAGAAAAGATGAAGAAACACATTGGTTGGTTAATTTTGAGTCAATCCATTTGTTTGAATCCTCTCTTAAGCGGCTAAAAATTAATTTGACTATCAGCATATTCCAAATCGAGATTCATTTAGATAAATAAATCTACACTTGATGATTTGATAAAATTATATCATAATCTATTCCAATACTAATATAAATAAGGGTGTATTGTATCATCTTGTAGAATACCCGTATTTAATTCAGATAAAATTTTGTCAAATGAACCAAAGATTTTTTAAAAGTAGATGGAATTCAAAATGATGTAAGGATAGCAAACATATCATAAGCGTAGCCAGGGGAAAGAGGGCAAGGGAAAATTTTCCTTTCGGAAATTTGCCCATCATTTTAAGCTAATAAAAATCCCACCTACACTGCCCCCTCCCTCTTTCTCCCACAAAAATATATGCAATATATCACTATAAATATGAATTTAAAAAATAAAAATTTGTAAAAGTTAATAACTTTTTACAGGGCAAAATATTTAGAAAAAAAATCTTTTCATAAAAAAAATGAAACCTAATTTTTATAAAAATCGAATAAAGCAAAAGTACAATAAGTTAAAGATCTCCAATCTATTGCAAAAAACCAATATAATAGTGCTTTCTCCTCCCTAACCCATTAGCAAAATCCTGGCTATGTCTGAAACATATTGTCTCTCATAAGTGAGTCAAAAGCTTTGAAATCAATAAACACCACAAAACGTGGTGTTAGGATATCGTTTCTTGTAAGATCTGAACTGCATAAATTTTTGGACCATACTACTTACCTTTATGGAAACTAACTTGAAAGGATGTCATATGACTTTCTGCAAAATTCAGGGTTATTTATTGAAAAATCTAGAATCTATTGGTATTAGAGTAATACTACTATAATTTTACTTTATATACCTTTTGAAATAGGAACTATCGTTTTTAAGATGTGAAAATGTATAATTGAGAATGTTATCAAATATTTTGCTTAATATTACAATAATCTCTTGGTTGGATTTTTTATCTATACCTGAAGATTTATTATATTTCAATTGTTCGGACTTCGATAATTTCTGTCTTTGAAATATTCTCTAGACAAAGCATTTCTACACTCCCTCCTCAAGCCAATGCTAATTACTTCTTGCCCCCCCCTTCCCTACCATTTCAAAATTACAACAAAAAAGGAAATCCGTATCGAAATTAGCAAAAAAAGGAATCTAAATTTAATTGGCAAAAAAGGGTAATCCAAATCAAACCTACCCTCCCTCAATTTTAATATGTTCATCCTATATTCCAAAAATGTTATTGTGCCAATATTGTATAATATCATATTTATATGATTCACAAGTTTATGAATGATTTGTGAAATTGCTTTTAATAATTTTTCTTTTGTTTAAATGCATATAATTTGAATATTTTCTACTTGATTCCTAGTTTTGGGGTGGGGGCTACTATTGCAGGTCATATTTATTTTTCTTTTTAAAATAATGACAATTGTATAAATTATTTGGGGAGTGGCGGGGGTATATTATTATTAGCTTAAAATGATATTTAAGAAAACAAGTAAATTTTTGAAGCCCTTTGGTTACATCTATGATGTGATTCAATTTATTCCGTATGATGCTAACATTGTATGACTACCCAAGGAATTTTCTTGGTATTAAGAATTTAATGTTGAGACGCCACCATTCGTATGTTATCACATTAAAAAAAATTTAAAAATATTTCATTTATGGACTAAAAAATCAAATTTATGTGATTCCCAAAAAGCCTATAATTATGATTGCTTTTTATTTCTGAACCCCCGCCTAATAATTATTATCATGATCGAAATTAAATATATCTCAAAGAGAATAAAAGCTCATAAAATTTTATTAATTAAGGAGATAAATAGTAAAACTATAGTCTTAATTTAAGGTGGAAATTGCCTCTTTTTACTCCTAAAGAAATTCGAAGAAAAATAAATCTGCTCGAAATTCGTTAAAATAATTTTGGAGATTATTTTTTCAAGGAAAGTATTTTTTTCCGGCGTTATGTGAATCACATATTTTAGTTATGTATTACTCTAATAAAGGACCATCTTCAATTCCTTGGCACCATAAATTAATTCCCTTGGAGATCAACCAACTTGACGCAATTGTTAACAAGGAAAATATCAAACTAAGAATGAGAGTTGGCAGCACTAGTCTGGATGGATGTTCTAACCTAATTATTAAATAGAAATATCCTGTAATTCTATAATATATAATGTATATGTAATTAAAACTGTTTAAATTTCAGTTGCTTTAATACTTTTTTTTGGAAACATTCTGAGTAAAATAAATCAAAAATTGCAACATTATAATGAATTTTATAAAACAAATATTTCCCAAAAATAAGCAAATAACAAAAATCGAAGGTAAAAAAATTTAAAATGAGGTTGTTAAATCGTCTAACTTTGACAAACCCAATACGGCTTAACCAAGTTTTTAACTAAAAAATTAACTTAACCTCAAGTTGAGCCCTTGGTTATGCCGTAGTTAGCCAAAGTTAGGTGATTTAACAACTTATCTGCCTATTTTTTTAAATTTAAATATTTAAGGACTCCCTTGTCATTGGAAATGTTTAAAATAAAAAAAATCAATAACATTTTCAAACCATCTTCTACATGTCTTAATAAAAAGAAAGGAAAAAAAATATTATAGATTTCTTTACATTTTAAATTTTTTTTTCTATCCTTAGGTGATCTTAATAAGAAAATATCTAACTCTTTAATTGTTTAGAATTAAAATTATTTATTTAATTAAGTTACATCATATATTGTAGAGTAGATAACAATAAAAATTACGTGGAATATTGTTTGCGTCCTATCTGACACAGGGAAAAGAACATGCAACACAAGAAGGCATAAAAGAGGGAAGCTACTCCTATGTATATGCAAAAGTTACAAATACATATGGGACCCCAGGAAGAATATATATAATCTATAGTAGCTACCGGAACTAGATTCACCTGTTGGTTGTTATTGGTTGGTGATTTCTTACGACCTCTATTAGTGCTAGGGTAGTGGTAATAGTCCTCCTCAAGTTTTTCAAGCACTGTATGGTTAAATGACTGAACAAGGCTTGGTGTAGGGATGAGCCATGTATAATTATCCCTCTTGTGTATGTTATTAGTTAACAAAGCCGAATTGTTTGGTAAAATGGTTAAAGCTTTAGATGAATTTACGACTATTGTGTGACTATATGAAAAATTAGGAAGAGTGTTTGTGTAGGATTCCGTTAATATATTAGAAGAAGCAAGTCCCAAATCTTTACTCGTATTTGGTGAAAGTGAATTGGTGTCGGTATTATTATAAGCGTAAGTAACATTAAATTGTCTTCTCTTCCTGATAACTGATATCGTTTCGTAATTTAATTGGGGGAAAGTCGTTCCAATCTTGGCTAATTCCGAAGACTTATTAAGATTAGGGGAAATAAATCTGGGTTCAAATCAATTTATGAAAAATAAATTATAGTTAAATAATATAATATAATGGGAACGTTATATTATAGTTATTTTGATGACTTATTATAAAGTGGTTATTTAATATCACAAAGAATTTTGTCAATATAATACATCTTGCTTACCCGTTGTTATATATCGAGTCGACAATATTTATTCTTTATATTTTTATCAAACTTTTTATAATTGGCAATAAGTATACCTTATATAAAATATTCATATTATTACCTCAAGATTCGTTTTGAATTCCCTACTTTTACTGTTCATATCTTCTCTTGTATAAAACTAATTTTCGAAGATTAGTTTTAGCTCATTATTGTTCTTATCTTGGCTTTTATAAAACTATTTTATGAATTATATTTAAAAATCCTTGATATACTTACTAAAACTTTTTCAATACCAAATAATATATTCATTTAATTTGAGTCAACACCTTCCTTATTCAAAACTCATATTGTATTACATTTTTCTCGCGTGTCTTAGGTATTTGTTTAAATATATTGCTAATTTTCATAAAATATATGTAAATGCAGAGTTAATTTAATAATTTAAGAAATGAAAAGAATTTCAATTTGTTTTTATTTCTATAATTTCTACATATTTAAATGGGTTGAACCCATAAATAAATAAGCTTCAGCCATTTTTCAACAAACTACGAATTTAACCGGATTTGGTGTTCAAAATTCAGTTCAGGTTGAAGCCACTGGCTGTTTTAATCCTTAATACTTACCCTCTTTAAAATGAAAAAAAATATGAATATAAGTTATGTTCAATTTTTTAAAGCTATTATATAAATTTGCCATTTCAAATCATACTTGTGGTACTCTAGTAAAATATTTTCGTCTGTGATATTGATGTCGAGATCATTTTCTTTCACGGACCCAATTAAGGTATATTTGAGGGTTGAAAATAGCACACAAAATCCTCTAAAGTCATTTTGAGCTGCTCCTAGAGAGACTACCAAAATCATGGAACTTACTATGCTGCCAAGGTATAAAATGACCGGCAAAAATCTCCATATAGCAGACAATTCTTGTGGTTCTAAATCGTAATCAGCAAATATTGACGCCCTTTTATAAGATGTCTCGTTAATCCAATCCTTGTAAAACTTTAGTTCCTTTTTCATTGTTATGTTGTTTGAATATTGGTCTCCCTTAGAATGCTGCTGTTGTTTAGAATATTTAGAGTCATTGTCAAGGAAATTGGTATTATCATTAAGTTTAACATCTTTGGTTTGTTTGGATACATTTTTATCATCCTCATTATCACCTTTTACCGAATGAATCATAAGTATATAGTATTTAGATAAATATTTCTGAATTGTTTACTATATATTTTATTCAATTTAGATATCAAGTTTCTATTATTTCATTAGGATTATAATAGTTCTGTAGATTTGTTAGAAAATTTTATTTTATTTTATAACAAAAAATAATATAAATAAAATTATGTCTGAACAAAATATATTGATTTGATTGTTAAAATGCAATCTTGAGTTAACTATAATAAAATTTTGATTATTATTTTATACCTCTCTAAATCGAGTATCGAAAGATAAATTAATCAAATGCTCTAAAGTTTGGACTGGGATAGCATTTATATATAATATAATTTGTTTTTTTGGCAGAATTTTATTTATTTTTTTTTATTTTTATATTATATATTCAAATCAAACCATTTTTATGTTATTTTTTAAATTTAAAAAAAATATCAATTTCCTTCATTATTACTAAGTAATAGAATAAAGTTTTAAAATAAAATAAACTATGTTGAAAATAACAAATAATACTATTAAATTAATAAAAAAAACAGAAATGTGTTAAGTAAATATACGGAATTCGGCTGGATAAAGATATAAATTTTTTTATTATAATATATAACATCTTTATATTTAATCAGAGAGGTAACTACGCGATATTTTGAGGGTAAACCCTCCTCCCGTACTCAATATTAATTATGTTGCGTTTTTGCCATCTTCATACACTTTTCTGCCCCATCTTGATGAGCGTTTTTTTTTCACGCAAAATAAATATTATTTTTGGTTTTTGAAGCTTGTTTGGCTTGCGCTATATTTTCAAAACAAAAATATTTATCAAAACGGTGCCTTAGGAAGTGAAATGTATTAATAATATATAAATAATGCATAAATTATCCTTATTACATAAGGATTATGCTTATTCATTCATGCCCATGCTAATGGACGGAAAAAGTATACTATTATGGGGGCCGTTAACCTTTAACTCTTGTGCAATTTTTGACTAAATTTATCTCTATTTTCAAGTCCAACGCAGCCCATTTGGGATTTAGTTTTTGCTTAACCCATCCAAATTCATACCCGTCCCCATCCAGTTTCAATTTTTTAATAAGGTTGCAGAACGGCCCATTTTCTCATTACAGATATAAATAGAAAATGTAGGAAAAGGAAAAAGAGATTCGTATTTATGAACGAATAATCATAGTAGCCGGCTATTTATTGCAAAATATCAATTATTTAACATATTGTTAAATTTTAAAAAATAAACATATACCAAGTACAGCATTTTTCTGTATATCATTTACTTTAAGTACAATTAGTTTTACGAGGTGGGCTTCTTCAATAAAATGTAAACAACAAATACAAATTTGCAAAAGAGTTTTAAAAGCGTCCGTCGTTGAAGAAACTGTTTGTAATTATATTCCCAAGATCATATCTTAGACGAAGAACTATTTTGGATAAAAATTAAATTTTTAAATATACCTAAACCACTAGCTATGTCATTATTGGAATTTAAGGGGGCAAATGCACTTTTCTCTAAATAAAAAATGAGATATTATCTTTAGAACAACTTATTATTCAATCATGCCAAGACCCAATATTTTTTCTATCAGAAGAAAATAAATTTATAAATATATTTAAAATAAGAAAAAAGATCTAAATACAACTGCCCATAATGTATTTATTAGATCCCCAATATCAAGCACAACATCTCACGATTAATGAATTCCACGAAAGCTTGTGATATGATCAAACCTAGGAATTCTACTAGGTAGTTATAACAAACTATATTAGGTGGTTTAATAAATTTTCATTGTAAAAGAGGTATTCATAAACAAAATATGTGAAAGCGGTAGAATTCATAACCATTAATCAGATTTCGGCATCAAGTTGATGAAAAGAACTTTGTCCACCTTACCCTTTAAGGGAAGTAGGAAATATATTAACCCTTCCAGGTTCAACTTATTCTTCAGAAAGAAATTAGTCCTTCTATGGTAATATTCATATATACTACACTTAAAATCTATTAAAAATGTTACTACGGGAAAATAAGTTAGTGTTTATCATAATTTACAAATAAATAAAAACATAAAAGAAAATGATTATTCAGTTTCAAAAGAAAACGATTGCCACAGAAAGTAAAAACGAAATAAAATTAATCAAAATATTACCAATATGAATATATTATGTATATATTAGTGAAGGTCAACGGTCCGGTCCTATTGGTCTTAGACCAGTACCGAACCGATTTTCGGACAGATCTTTTTTGATGACCGTGGTCCTGACCGGTCTTTTTATTTTTTACGGTCCAGACCGCGGTCCGGACCGGTTTTTTATTATTATTTAAGTTTGCTTTACTATTCATTTAATATAATTTTTTTTGTATATTTTTATGATATTTTTATAGAAGAGTTATTTTAGATTTTGTTAATTTTTACATTTTATAGTCCTAATAAAAAACATAGAGTATGTGTTAACTGCAGTACCAAATTTAATGTATCGTCAGCAACAACAAAATAATTGTTTATAATTTTTTAAGCAATAAATTAATCAAAATAAGCAGTATTATTATTAAAATATTTTGGTTATTATTAGTTCTATTTTTTCTTAAGAAACTGTCTGAATAATTCATTGTCAAAATAACTTAACCTTATTCTTAATAAAATAATTAGGTACCTTAAGGAGACATCTGATAAAACATAAAATATATACTTCTAATGATGAAAATGAAAATATCTCAAAAACACAATCTACTCTTAATTTTATATGAACTCCACAAGCACAAAATCACTTTCTTCAATACCATTGGATAAATTTTATTGTTTATATAATACTCTATATTTAATAAAATGATAAAACAAATTAAATTAGGTTTAAAAAAAAATGTTTTTTAAACAAAAAAAAAGACCGGTCCTGGACCAGTCTTTTTATTTAGGACCACGTTCTGGATCGATTTTTTTCTTAAGGACCGTGGTCCGGTCCGGTCCGAGGATATCGGTCTAGTCCGGATCGTGACCTTCGATAGTATATATTACATAAACTTAAAAAGTGAAATGTCATAAAAACTAAAATTGAATTTGACCGGTCAAATACCCAGCCCCTGAAATATATTATTTAAAAAAATTAGGGTTTGGAATAATTTTTTCTATTCTCTATTAAGTGCGCCGTAAATTTCTGCTCTTGCAGGTCTAGCCTGTTAATCAGACCTATGCCTGAATTTTAAAAAATGAAGCAATTAGGGAGATATCAAACTCCAAATATTTAGTATGTTCTCTAATTTTATGCGTTAAATTTAAATATTCAGCAAATAAATTTGATAATTTAATGATGTTTATAATATTTCGCACCTACTGATTTTTTTAAAACTAATCTTATTTTTTCAATTTCATTTTATAAGATTGTAATATTCAAGCGCTGTAAAGGCAGATTCATTAGGCATTCAAAATGCAATGATACCAATGCGAGGGCCTTAAAATCCGCCGGCATCCCATCAACCCTCGAACCTACTGGCCTTTACAATTCAGATTGTAAGCGGTCCGATGGTTCGACTATGATCCCTTAGAAGAGGGGGGAATTCCTAACTTGGGATTTCTCATGCATCGATCCTCTTGCCTCTTCCAATATAAAAAGAGATGCCATATTAGATGCCGAGGCGAATAAATTAGCTAAATATTCGCCATCTCTTCCCGCCAATTATACATTCCTACCATTAATCGCCACTACCTTAACGTCGTTCGGCTCTCATGCCCTAGACTTCTTTAAAGAGGTAGGAAAACGGATCTCTGCTAGGACCGAGGATCCCAACGAGGCATTCTACCTACGCCAACGATTAGCCATAAACATAGTAAAATACAATTATCTCAGCTTTATTTTTTCAATATCCGAAACGCCGTAATTGAACATCCTATGCATAGTATAGACTTTGGCCATTTTGTTGCAAATTATTATAATGTTAGCGCTAAATTTATATTAATGTATAATTAATCTATGTTATTTTATTTTATTAAATTATTTTACTAATATATTTACATAAAGCAGTGACCCCTACACTTTTTGTGGGATAGAAGCAGAATACCCCCCTAAAGTACCCCCCCCCCCCCCATTGTAAATTATTTTTTGACACCAATAAATTTCAAAAATAATTTTTATTGCATCAATATTTATTATAATATAAATATAATGTAAAAAATATATGCTTTAAAAATATTATTTTTAAATTAATAATTTAGATAAATTAGGGGAAGAGAAAGCAAAAGAATTTATAATTTTATCAATATTTAATTGTTTAAATAAATTATTTTCCATTGATAAAATGGTTAAATTATTAAGAAATGGATCTTTCATGACACTACGAAGTCTTGTTTTAATTAGTTTAATTTTACTCATGACCCTTTCGGCAGTACATGATGTAGTAGGAATAGTTAATAAATATTTATATAAAATTGTTAGGGAAAGCAGAAAAATTTATAAGCAGATGATAAGGTAAAATAAATGAATAGTTTTTCCAGTCTGAATCATTCATCTCAGAATTATTATCATCATCAGAAGAAGCTAAATAATGTATTAGTAAAAATATTTTAATTAAATAAATTTACAATTCTCAGAATCTGACAAATCTTCTTTAACCTCTAGGTCACGAGTAATAATTATGTCCCCCGTTTTAGCCATTTTATAAATATTTCTAAACATCAACATTTCCTCAAAAACTTGACTTGTATTTAATTGATAAAATTCACAGATATCCTTGATATCATCTTTAACAATTGCCTTTTCCGCCATTCCCTTTGGGGTAAAAAATGATGTTTGACTCAAAAATTTTATCGATTCATCGTTAAATCTTTCACTAAACTGCATAATAATTAAATCAAGTGCAGCATAAAACACACTGATTTTAAAGCTAAAATAAAATATTATATTTAATGATGAAAGTATATATATATCTCTCCTTTTTGGATTGTAATGCTTGAAGTCTTGAACTTTCAAAATCAAAAGGTAAATTTCTCTTCTTCATAAAATCTTGGGCCTTTGAAAAGACATCCAAAAATTCAGTGTTATTATCTATTTTAGGATTATAAAATAATAAAAGATAATAATTTAAATTATACTTCTCATATTAATCAGGCAATCTTTTACCAATTGAATTTGATT